TCATAGCAGACAGAGCAGCACAGATCCTCCTCTGAACAAGACGCCATTTTCCTCTGAGTGAAGCTAAACTCTGGACAGGCAGAAAGTTCAAACAGCTCCGACTGGTGAGGCTCCACTCCCTCCTCCACAGAGTTTACTGGAACTGACTTTCACTTTGACTCCTGTCTTTTCTGAAGCTCCGTTCAGTCTGCAGTCAGTACACTGAAAAAAAATAACTCATAAGATTTACTTAAAAATATATACTGTATATTGTAAGTGTTTGCATGCAAAGGATTTGAGTAAAATTTAATGCTGCAATATCAAGTAACATTCACTTTACAGTGTAAAGTAAATTTTACTTTCCATAAAACATAACAGTTGCGATGATATTAAGTAACATTTATTTAATCACATCCAAGTTTTAAGTTATATTTATTTAAACAAATTAGGTAAAGTCTACTTGTTTTTCATAGGCAGGGACCTTGTTTTACTCAAAATTTTAAGTACATTTTATATCTGCAGTATTTGCTGTTATGAAATAATTAGGTAAATATTAATTATTTTCTTGTGCTTGACATTTTAATTTTACTTGGTTGATCAGATTTCATATAGCACTTTATCAGAGACACTCAAGGTGTGAGGATTTGAGTTTATGCAGCAGTTGGGTTTCCTGTGTTCCTCCCCTCTGTGTGTGTTCTCCCTCTCTCTCTTTCTCTGCAGCGCTGGAGACACGGCGGGAGGCGGGGCTGGCCTGGACTGATTGCACGCACCTGATTCTCGTTGGTGCCATTTAACCTGGCTTTAAATGCCGGCTCCTCTGTTGGCTCTGTGCCAGATGATTACCCAGTCATGCAACACGTGGCTTACCATGCAGAGCTCCCTGTTCTCCTGCCCGTGTATCCAGCCTGCCTCTTAAAGTTGTTTGTGAGTTTTTTTTGTTATCTTCATAGGATTTTTCCCTTGAGCAAAGGTGATTTTGTGTTTGTGTTTTTTCCCTACAGTTGAGGAGATTTTTGTTTTACATTTCTGTTGCACTTTGTCCTTTTATACTCCCTCAGTTGTTACGTTACTTGCCCCACGTGGCACTATCATTTGAACTTTGTCTTCACCAGCTATTTGCCTTACTGCAGTGACTTTTCCCTGACTCTGGTTTTGTGTTTTTCAGTGGCAGTCCGAGCCAACCGTGCCTTTTCTGGGAAGCGGCGATTTTCTGTTGTTCACGTTGTTTATTGTCCACCAATTTGGGCATTTGTCTCTGCATTTTTGGATCCTGGCCTTTATTTGATTCCTAACACAAGGTGTTTTACATTGGATACATCACTCACTCACACCTTGGTGGTGGTAAACTACCTTAGTTTACCACCACCAAGGTGTGGCATGAATGGGCAGCCATGTTTCCATCAGTTTGGCCCACAGCTGCCCTGGGCCAGACTGATGGAAACATAGCTGCCCATTCACGCCTACGACCTCTGACCACCACCAAACATCACTCACAATCATACACCAGTGGGGGACACACACTTGGAGCAAGGTGGGTTAAGTTTCTTGCCCAAGGACACAACAGACAGATTAGGGATAGGGGGAATCGAACCGCCAACCATCCAGGAATTGGATGACCACTCTACCTCCTAAGTTACTGCTGCCCCCTACCTTGCTCTGTGATCCGGACTTAGAGCAGAAAGTTTCAAAACACTACACTTTCAGAGTAAAGTTTATATAGTATTTGTAGGTTTATGTACATACAACTATTAAACATTTAAATAGTATAAGGAAACCTAAGTAAACCTTTCTTTTCCCCCATAATTTATGAAAAATTTAAAATTTTTAAAAAATGTTCAATTTTACTTAAACTCTAGTTCTTACTGAATCTTAAAAATACAAGGTAGAAGTGTACCTGGTTGAATTTGCAGTATTCCAGTATTTAGCCGTTGTCTCTATGTGGACGTCGTCTCTCTTATTTCTCAAAGTGAAAGTAATCAAAGTTATCATCCGTCAGTGTGTGTGCTAGAGATAAAGACTGGTTCCTGGTTTGTCTGGTTGAGCTGGTATCAGGGTGCAGTTCTATTTGTCTGTTTATGAAACTAAAGTCTAAGGAGTGGAGATGATCAAGTTATTCCGTCACTGACAGAGTGTTTGTATCACTGTTAAAATAACACTTTTCTACCTATGTTTTCATGGAGAAGATCAATATAAATATCCAAAGCTGATGATTTTTATTGTTTTTTTCCTGCCAGGAGGATGTTTGAAGAGAATGAGTTGTAAGGCAGTCACAGACATAAACTCATAAAACACATGAGTTTGTCTCCTCCCTCTTTCCAGATCAGATATTTTGACAGTTGCAAATACAGTCTGCTGATTGGTCAGTGCTGTCGCATTAGAGCGCCACAGAGATATGAACTTATTCAACTTAATGTGTTCATTTTTTTATGTTAAAGGGTGTTTGCAGTTTATCACGTCCTATAAATCAGTCCAGCTTAACAACCAGGACTTGACTTGAGCTTTTTTACTCTTCAGCCACTGTGACCATTATCTCTCTAAAGTTACAGGCCACTCAGCGTTTTTATCAGCCACAAATGTAATATGGAGAAGTTTTATTGGTATGATAAAAGATGATTCACAGGGTCCCCAGTGATCCCAAGAAGGTCTTAAAATGTTCAAATCTGGAAAAATCCAGCCACAAGTTGTCCTAAATTAGCTAAAAATTGAAGAAGGCAAATATTTTCAATATAAGTTGTGTTGATTGGATGGATTTATAAAATATACTACTGATGAATATCGGGAAAGAGCAGACATGCACTGTGCAAGTAAAAAGAGAAAGGAGAGGCAGGGTGGGAGTGTGGAGAAGAGAACTGTAGGGGAGTCATTTCAGGGGATTAATGTTGTTTGAGAATCAAACCTGACATACAGCAAACAGGGTAATGCATCTTCAGAAGAAATAAAAAACATTAAAAAGCCAGTTCAAAACTTGTTTTAAAACCATCATTAAGATATGTTAACATACCATTAACATGCTTCATCGACCCAGCAGGTCACCTAGTGTTCAAATCGGATCAATGCCTACAACACACCAGACCACATGCTCATTCCTGTAGGTGGTGGGCCCACAGGGTGGTGGCTACATGATATTTTTTCAGGCTGAGGTAAACTGGGTCCCACATGGACCACAGCCCACCAAGGCGCTCACTGTTCAGTCCCCTTAGGATCTACCTCCTGGAGTGTACCCCTGTATCTCCCTTCTGGGCAAGGTGGCTCCTCTGCCTCCCTGCCTTACTATGGAGGTCTTGTAAATATTTAAAATGTAAGTTGAGTTGATTGGATGGATTTATAAAATGTACTACTGATGAACATCAGGGAGGTGCAGACATGAGAGGCAGAGTGGAAGTGTGACTCCTGCAGGGTGTGTGTGGAGAAGAGAACTTTAGGGGAGTCATTTCAGGGGATTAATGTTGTTTGAGAATCAAACCTGACATACAGCAAACAGGGTAATGTATCTTCAGAGATATAGGTTTCAATGAAAGACCACATAGTTTTCCACGGGTAGAGCATATATTTGAGACATCAATGATTACCACCAATCATGTTTCTTTGATTACAGGGAGGCCAAGATCATGATCAGGGTAAGGGTGCCGCTCCAGGAAGGTTCTTTGTAATCAAATCAAATCAATATAAAACATGTATTTTGGATTTTTTTGATGCAACAGGGCCTGCATTACTACAAATATGACTCCAAGGGATACAAAATATTTTTAACCACAACAGGCTTAAAGAGGGGATCAGCTCAAGGAAGAACATTTATGATCATTTCTTCATGGAAATGCGATAAGATCGAGACGCCAAGGCAGAAGAACTTCTGCGTCTGCAGTGCAAAATGATTAATATCCCTTTAACTATTCTACATTTACTATAAAGTCATGCCCAACTATGTGTCTGCCGTCAAGAGTTCTGATATAGCTGTTCTCCCCATAGTCATGTGCTGGATTTGAGGAGGGAGCACCAAATCCTAACCTCACTTTAGGCCCTAAAATCTCCAGATCCAGCCCTGCCTGAAAGTGAGCACCTGGTCTGTTAGTCCAAAGTTACATCAGTGTCGCCAGAGAGATACCACAGCAGAGGGAGGAGGAGGTGAAAGAGGAGGAGGCAGTGTGCTCTGTTAATGACCGAAGGATTCATTCAATAAACCGTTAGCCTCTTAATTAATGCTCTAATTAGACTTCCTTCCCCTCACTGCCACACACACACACACACACGCTGAAAGTATCAAGCACATACACATACCCAAGTGGGATTTTGACCTTGTGATAACCTGTCTGTTCTGCGTTCAATGACCATGCCCCCACACTCGAACACCACACTAGGTCAGAGCATGTACGAAAACATTATGAAGGAAAAACACCCACACACACATACGCACACACATACTGGCCATAACCATACTCAGTGCAGGTGTCCCTCCTCCCTGACAGTGATACCATCCACTGAGACTCAAGTTGAATATATTCATCAGCAGCTTTGCCCACACCACCTGAATGACCACAGAGAATTAATTAATGAGCACGAGGGGAGAGAGACTGTGCAGGGAGCAGAGCGAGTAACAGAATGAGAAACCAACAGATAAGAGGGGGTCAAAGGTCAACATATTTAAAAAAAAAACTAAGTGTTGAAAGTGAAGCAGACATCAGGTGCTTCACATCTGCATTCTTCCTAATGATCAGCAGGGGGCAAAATGAGTGATTAGTCTATGACAACAAACCTGTTTCTCCCTGTAGTGAACATTTTCCCTGTTGAATGCCTGAGTGAGCTATTTCAGTCGAAGTTTTTAAGTCTTTTATACAACAACATGTTTTTATACTGTACATTGAAACTATACAGACTATCTATAGATATTTCTGATTTAACACAGTACTAGTACTGGAACCTGAAAAGTATAAGTAAATGTTAAAAGCTTGCTGAAAATGTAATAGCAAAGAGGCCTACTCTATCTTTTTATATAAGTGTTTTTAAAAAAATAGACTATAATAGAAAGTACACCACGAGTTTACTGTTGTATGTTTGTGTTCCATTATCCTAGACTTCCACCCAGTGGATCAAAAGAACATTGCAGCCAGAAATCCTGAAGAAAGGGTAGCCTGAATACACGTGTATCATCAGCAGGAATCAGTACAAAAGGAGTAAAAGTTAGTAACATATTCTGTGGCGGACAAGTGTAACACTGCACAAACACAGAGAAATAGTGAGACTTCAAGGAACAACACGGGCCTGAAGCTCAGATTAATCAATTATATAATATTATATTATTTTTATTCGCAGTAGCGTCTTGCATTGCCAAAGTGGACCTTACCGTCAGGGGAGGAAATATCTTTACCTGGAGTTATTCCCTATATGGCCAAAGGGGGCGGTAAATTGTCAACAAAGGCAGTTAGTGAAGTCAGAGAAGAAGATCCATGGCAACGGTCTATAACAAAGATGGCGGTGTTTTGGTCCGCTGCTAACCTTTTAAATGTATTCTTCCTGATCTCTACCGCCACTGAAAACGAAAATACAACGAGTTATCATTTTAATTCAACCGTTTTTGGAGACAGGAATGAAACATTAGTAGTTGCTGAAAACCAAACTACCGCACAGCCGACAGAGTTTGATATAACAACCACAGCACCGGGTTACAGCAACACCGAGGCGCCCGTTCAACCGAGCCCGTCCTCCGAGCCCCTGCCCATCAGCGGCCGCCTGCTCACTCCTGTCACCGCCGGTAACCTCCTATTATTCCGCCCTGCACTGTAAATCTGAGTTTAAAAAAACTCGATCTGAAGACCCAATAGGGCTCTCACGGGCTCAAATGTTTTAAGCAATTATGACAGGCTAAATAAGTTGGTGTGAAACCTCTAGGAGCTTTAAAATCCTACAAAAGAACCTTAGAATCAGTACTAAAAGGTACTGCAAGCTAGTGTAGAGACTTATAAATAATAATATAACGTGGACTCTCTTTCTGGTCTTGGTCAGCATCCTTGCAGACGAGTTCTGTATCAGCTGAGAAATGTTGTTTTTATGTACACTAGAGAAACTGTTACTCTCTCGACAATGCCCATCTTATTTGGTTATTTCTCTGTTTCAGTGGACAGGTTGTGTCCCTGTGATGAACACAGAGATGTGTGTGATATTAACTGCTGCTGTGATCGAGAGTGTGGACAGGAGGTGGCTCTGTTCACCAGCTGCTCATTGGAGACTGTCAGGTAAGTCCAACTGTAACTGATGATCATTTCCAGCATGGAGTCGTCAGCTGATTTTCTGCTTGATCGATAAACCTTAATGCTGTAAAGCATAATAAAATTTGTAGCACTAAGGCATGAGAGGGGTGACAGAGAGGAGTGTTTTACTGAGAGAAGATGAAACTGTAATTTCTGTGGCATAATTTTGTTTAGTGTGGGCATGACACTTCAGTCATCTGATTTATACACAGACCTTTGGAATCAGTTTGGTGGTTTTTGCAGCTTAGAGACTTTTTTTTAAATCAAAAGGAATAAACTTAATTGAAAAAGAAACAAACTGAAAACCTCGGTTTTCAAATCCACCTCTAAATCGAATTATTCATGGCACATGTTCTGAATTATGAATTAATTTGCATTTTCTTCAGTGCATACACAAAACTTATGTAAACCCTGTAATTTCATGTGTAACTGCATGTGACCTACACTAACTGACTAACACAGAGAGACCCTAACATAAGAACATGAAAAATGCTACATAATACCCACATAGACCTGAATTCCTGCTCTCTGCTGGCCTTTAATGAGACTACATGTTTAAAGCTTTTTTTCTGCACACAGTATTAAGACTCACCCAGGGTCCTCTGTTCTTTTTCCTGCAGTGGAAACAAGCAGCTGTGCAGCCGTGATGTAGCATCTTACTTTTTATGGAGTACGATAGACGGATATTCAGAAATACAGTCATCTGTCAGGAAGGAGACAAATTATGACATCTTCTGCATTCAGTCACAGAACCGTAAGTGGTGTTTGTTTGGACAGAGCACTTTGTTAAGTAATGAAAATTAAGTTTTCAAACAGTTCAAGAATCTTTGTGCTTATACTAAAGGATAAGGCTGGGTTTCTTTTTCTCCTCACCACAGTTAGCAGAAAACTGTTAAATGAGAACTGACTTTTGCTCTCTGTTTGCTCTAGGTGTTGATGGACTTTCTCACCCTTCACCTGCTCTTCCGACTGACAGCAACTTTGATTCTCTCTTTGAAAAATTTAACCGGTTTATTTTTGGCTCAGAGGGAGCTGAGTCGTCCACCGCAGATCTCCAGGTTTCATCTGGATACCAGGTGAGTCTCTGTTTGACTCAGGAGTGATTCACTATAATGATGAGCTTCTGTTTGGAGAAGAAATGTCACCTGTTCTGGTGGTTGATGGTTTCAGTTTGGAGATGTGATGGTGATGGCAGCACAGAGTGGACAGAGAGGGATGTTCATGCTTCCAGCTCCAGGAGTCACTGCTGACTGTGTGGACAACAGTCCTGCAGGTAAAGACTCACAGATCACAGGGACAGAGGAGCCATGAAGAAGTTCAGTTTGTAGAGTGTGTGTCCAGCACACAGAGACTGAGTCCTGCTGCATCAGTTTCAACCTTGACCAGCTGTGCTCTGGTGTACATCCCCAATCTTGTCCTCATTATCCTCACCTCTTTTACGCTCCTGTAAAAAAAGGCAAAAAAAAAAAGAGATTCAGATAAATCACTACAGTTAACTAATATTAGCTGGTTGCTCATACATTATCCAGTCTCTTGTTTATTATTCATTAGAAGAAAAACCATCACATCAGCCTGAGGTAACATATAGTACATAAATTCAAACAACTTATTGCTGTAAATGTTGTCAGCAGAATAAGTTCATAAAACTGTAGCAGTTCATCTTGTAAAGGAGATTAAAACTCACAACTTTCTTTACTTCATTTCTTTTTACTAACTCAAACCAAAGAAGTCTGTTAGATTACTAATAAGCTGTGCAGAGGTTACTCCTGGATGTGTCAGCTGACTGCTGTCATGATGCATTAAAGTTACAAACAGCACAGGACAAAGTGCAGTGCAAATAAAGGTGAATCAGTAAAGTCAGGTTGGTTGGAACCACACCCTGTAACATTTTGGCCATAAAATGCACAACCAGCAAAGTGGTTCAATTATGGGTTCACATTTAAAAGGAGGAAATCTGTCATTTATTTTAGTCCTTATGAGATCAGTATTTAACATCTATCAAATCCACACCTTTCTGAGAATGGTCCTAAATAAAACGCCTCAATTATTTTATTTCAACATGTCTTACAGGATCATGCTCAAAAACATCTCAAAATGAAAACAAAACAAGAAAAAAAAACAGCAGTATCAGTCGGGGTTTTTTCTCTCTCTCTTCAGCTTTTCTGAGGGATCAGAGCAGTCAGTGTTCCAGGCGTTTGGTCCTGAATCAGGACTGCGACAGTCTGCCAGCTCTCAGTATGGACACCTACACCAACATCCAGCTCTTTTCTGTGAGTCTAACAGTTAAACACAACATATACACACAGTGCCAGAAACGCTCGCTGGAAAGTGTTTTTAGTTTATCTGTCATTGATTTTTGATCACAAATAAAGCAATATCTATGTTCAAAGATAACCTTCAGAGAAGGCATAAGCTCTTGTTTAGTGAGTCAGTATGAAACAGAGAAACTGTTTAACAAGATGATCAAGTGATGATAATATCAGTAGTATGTAAAATTTGTAAAATATGACATATTCCTTTATAATATTTGTACCATTATTTTAATATTTCATGTTAAATGCTTGTAAATAGAGAAAAAAGACTAGCAGAATCAGCCCTTGTATGTGTAACATACTTGACCCGTAAAGCTGATTCTGGTTCTGATTCTAAGCTAAACTATCTTTTTTTATTTTCAGGAGAGGAGTGAAGATGCAGCCGTGAGTATGCTGAACTTTTGAGTTTTATAAAATCTGGATCAGATATTATTCAAAGATTGAAATTTTGATCAATTGCTCAGTATATAATCTTTTTTTTTTTTCAGTGAGTGATAACTTCATTTTGTAAATTTTAACCTCCTGCAAAAAGGTGTGGCTTAAACAGTGTCTTGAGAACCTTCTGTGATTTTTTTGTCTGTCAATTTCAGATTTGACAATTGATTGAAAAAATACACAGCAAGTTTCTCTTTATGTCACTTTTGAATGCTTAAAGCATCGGTGGATCCTTTTTCAGTCCTTTGCGTTGATGTTTTGTACTCTGGCTCAGAGGACTCTGTGGATTTGTTCAGGTGTAACTGTTTTTTATGAAAGTCAAGAAGCTGCAGAAATGTTTGTTTAAAAAAATTCTCATGCCATCACAGCTCAAGAAGTGCCAGAGTACCTTTTAAGTTTTAAGTTTTGCAAACCACCACAAAGTTTTGACAGGCCAAAACAGTATGTTTCAACCTGACCACTGAGTGCAACAGGTTGACTCAGACAGAAAGTTGAAGTGGACCGCTGATGTGCAAAGACCGGAGGAAAACAAAATCTTTCTCATGAGATTGAGTGCAGACCTTATGCAGAGGGAAGTCAACAGTTACTTCACCACTCTGGACCTTTTCTGTGAAACTCACATGTTGACTTATCAAACCAGTGTCTCCAATTTATGCAATTTTTAATGCTGCGTTCCTCTATTTTACTTTCAGTTTAGTTTGGTCAGAGTTTCAATAAGCGGTATTATAGAACCATAATAAGGTTTTGATAACAGTACTCAGCTCACATCCTGCTCGATGCATGTTATAACTCTGCTGTTGTGCGGCTTTCTTTGTGGTGACTTGTGATGGTTTCTGCCCTTTAACTGAAACGTGGTAAATATAGATGACTAATAGTAGGTTCATTTCCAGAGAAGCAGCTGTAGTTTGATTGTAGTCAGAATATGAAAAGTATGTGTATCTTGTTGGTCTGAAAAGTAAAGGTTGTGTTTAATAATATAGGCAGCAGTAGCTGAGGCAAGTGGTCGTCCAATGACTGGAAGGTTGGCGGTTCGATTCCCCTCTATCCCTAGTTTGTTTGTTGTGTCCTTGGGCAAGACACTTAACCCACCTTGTTCCCAGTGTTTGTCCTCCACTGGTGTATGATTGGTATGTACATCGCTTTGGATAAAAGCGTCTGCTAAATGACATTGTAATTTTAAAAACATTCTTCCTATTGACCAGCAGGGGGCGACTGTCTGTGTAGAGGTCAATGAAGAAATGAGCCTACCTGTCTGATGTTTCATATTCTCAGTAAAGGTTTAAGGAGGCTGTGGCATTGTCGTGCATCTCATAGTGTGACACAGTTCTCCCGCTCTGCTGTGTGTGTCTGATTAAGTAGATAATATAAACTGGTCTTGCTGCTGTCTTCTGCTGCAACAATCTCTGAACAAACTTTGCAGTAGAGTGTGGTTTGTTTGAGGTCTGGTGCCATAAAACTGAACCAGTTCCAAAAGACTGATGAGGCTGTGGCCTGTTGGGTACAAACTCTACATAACATGTGCAGACCATGGAAATGGAGGGGATGGGTAAACTCTGGCAGCCCGAGGCGAGCAGCAGAGGATTTTCTTTTATAAAAATGATCTAAAACCACAAATATTAACTAATCGATAAAATCAATCCATCGCCCAGCAGTGGTATCATGTTAAAAAACTTGTTGAAATTTTTGCAGACCAAGAAAAGCTTGTCCTTACTGTTACTTCCATCAGAGTAGATTATTTTGATGGTCTTCCACCAGGACTCTCAGACCCTCAGAATAATGTGAGGGTTCTGTCTAGAACTAAGAAATTAAACACACGACTCTGCTTTAAAATCTCTGTCCTATCTTCCAGTTAACTACAGGATAGTTTTCTGTCAAAGTCATGGTTTAGGGTATTGTTACTTTTGTTTGATAGAACAGTAAAAGGAAATGTGAAGAATTTGATGTGGAGGAAGACCTGAAAGGGTTTGCAGCTGAGAGTCGAACCAGGAACAAGGACTGCAGCCTCTGCATATTTACACCCTGAGACTGTTGGACAATTGGCGCTTCTGCAGGATGGATTTTAAAGCATCCTTAACATTTTTACTTTAAAGTCCTGTTGTTATTATTATTATTATTATCATTATTATTTATCTTCTTCTTCTTCTTCTTCTTCTTCTTCTTATTATTATTATTATTATTATTTTTACTATTTAAAGTGTTCTCAGTGGTCTTTAAATCGTGGTGATAAAGTTTTTGGTCAAAATCATATTACCTGTGTCATTTTCAAGGGCTTTTCTTCTGCAGAGCTCCAGTAGCCCATTAGCAATTCACCTCTGAGTTGTGGGCGGAGACAGCGCTGCTCGGCGCACTCCTCTTCACGCTAGCTTGCTGCCTAACATTGCCAGCGTAGTAGAAGTAGCAGGTAACATAGGAGCTATTCAGCTCTTGGACACTAATGTCTTTGGGGACACGATGAAAGTTAATATCATAATTAGCTGACTTACGAGCATTGCAAAAATCTCCCTGTTACTGAACCTACCGTTTGCAATTGCCAGAGATTCACAGCGATTTGAATGCAGAAATACTCAGAAATGCAATTTCACACCCACTTTTCTCATGATATGTCCTGTAGCATCAGAAAATGCTATATGAACATGTAAACAAGAAGAAAAACATGATTTTCATCAGAGTGGATCTTTAATATTTGAAGTTACTTTGACGACTTGGGTCAGTTTGTTCAGCCTGGAGTACAAAAACTCAACATGATGAAGCAGCTTGGAGTCACTGTGCTGCCTGTAACAAACTGCTTTTAAGGATCAGATTTCTGCTTTTCACGGGCCTTTGCATGAGCTATATATGTGTTTGCACTTCAAGCATCCTGCAGCTGAGGCTACTAAAAATGTCATGATTTGGTCTTGTGAAAAGGAAAGTCTGGTGTAAGTTTGTAAAATAAATGTGGAGATATTTAGGTGATGATGTAGGTGAAGACTGATGTAAAGAAGAGGATGAATGAGACATGTTTTGACTGAATATAAAATTGAGCTTTGTCTTTCTGGTTTGGCTGGAGGTCATTCCTGTGGAGGTGGATTCACTCATCCTGCAGGCTGTAGATGGGACCCAGTCTGAGCTTCAGTTCAGCAGTGATGAAAACTTCAGTCCAGTTCTCCTGAATCCATCCCTCTGTGCGAATGTGGTGCTGAAGGTGAGACTCCCCAAACCTGGCTGTAATGCAGTTTTTCATGAGAGCTGGTCATGTATCTCGTCTGTTTGGTTTTCTAATTAAATATAGATTTGATTTGATCCAGAATCTCTTGCAGTCATGTTTAGCTGAAACAGTTATGTCTGTCGCCTTAGGTTGTCTACACAGTGAAGTACAGCTCGTCTGGTGAGATCATGAATGTGACGGTGTCTCTGGTGCTTGGATTTGTCAGTAAAGCTGTTCTGACCCTGGAGCAGGAGTTTCACATCGCATTTGTTCAGGTATGGCCTTACAAATATAGAAGCTCAAAACTTGATGTGTTGAAGTTAAACCTGCCTAAACTGTAGTTTGTATTTAAGAAGTGGACATGACCTCAACTCTTATTTGTTGACTGTTCTTGGAGGACTGCATTTAGCTTGGGAGACTAGTAAGTAATAAGACCCTGTTTACATCTGGAATTAATATCAGATACAGGAGATCAGACCTCAAGCCTCAACTCTAGGTGTGTTCGATCATCAGTGTTAGCTGGAATCTGCTCTCAGTCCACACTTGGTATCTGTGTTCTGGGCCACATCAAGAACTGTCAGCTCTCTGGCAACAACAGAAACAGACCATCAGCTTGACTAATTTAATACGTCACTGCTGTGTCTCAAATTGTCATTCCAACATGTTGGATTAAGACAAGGTGGAAGGTCTTATTCCGGAACTGTTGAACTATTTGCTCTCACAGTCTCTCACAGAATGGTGAACCTCTTCCCAGCTTTCCTTCTGATAGTCTCAGTCTCTCTGAACTTCCTTTTTAGACCCAGTCTTGTTTCTAAGCTGTTGTAAATTCACCTCATTGATCAGCAGACGTTTCTTCATCTGTTTTTTTTAGCAGTACACTTTTTACCTGTTTTGTTGTTCCTGTAACAACTAAAAACTGTTGCTGACATCAAACTCTGAATGAGCATATCCTTTACATAAAACTTTCATAAGATTCTTAGGGTTTTGATGACTTTAAAGTTGTCTTCATTTCATTTTACAGAACCCCCCAACTCTTATGAAATTTAAGTCGTATTACAAAGAAGGGAAGTTCACCGTTGACCTAATATGGAGGGGTGTTGAGATGTAGAGCCTTAGTTTCACACATGTCATCATGTATTTATTGAGACTGAGTGTTGAACAATAATTGCCCTGTGTGTGAACAGGAGGATCAGGAGGAGGCTGCTGTCCGTTTCAGTGGGAACCCAGGCTATGTGTTTGGACTTCCCCTCGTGTCCGGGATAAGAACAGCAGAATATCCTTCACCTGCAGAAGCTCTCTTTCTCTTCATCAACCTTGACACTTAATAACATGTTCCAGGATTTGTCCTTAACAGCTGTCTCCACTGGGATTTCCAGAAGCATCAACCTCAGAGACACCCTATCTGTCCTCCACAGCCCTCAGGACCAGGACTGTCTGCGAGGGCGGCATCAGCGCTCTCCGGTCCTCTTTGGTGTGGACTCTGTGTCGGGCTGCACATTAAGGCATGATTCTCCTCCCACTCAACATCTCTCATTTGTGTCTTTCAGTCCTTATCTATATCTGATTGTGATTTGTCTCTTCCCTGCAGTCTGGAAGACGCTGTAAACTGCTCTCAGATCTATCAGGTGCTCCTGGATGTTCTCCGAGGACCAAACTATCCTCAGTATGTGGCTTCATTTGGAAACTCCCCATTGGACTCTCCTTTGGACTGGGTGCCAATCAAGAGCAACTTCAATCCTGGAGTGAGTTCAGATTGAAAACAATCTGGAGACACTGGCTGTCTCGACACAAAGAGAAATTCATTCGGCCGCCCTCCTGTGTGCTGAGAAAGACAACAATAAATAAGACTGACAGTTTTTATACTGTTATTTTTTATTCTTAAAACTGCTGCAGGGAAGGAAGGTTTTAGTGAGGCGGCTGAAGAAAAAAGCTCAGTTAAACATTTTCAACATTCAATTTTGAAATAAAAATGATGATTTAAACAGTCAAAAGTGAGCAAGATGAGATTTTTGTGTCAGATTACAACTCAGCCATGTAGAGAACAAGATAAACAAAGACTTGTGTGTCCACAAGGAGGTGCCAAAACTGACTCAAACCACAAGTTCCCCACAGGAGCTTTAACTATATGGTAGAAGTGCTGAAAGTCTTGAATAAAAAGCATGATTTTCTCTGAGGACTGGTTTAAACTCGCCACATGTATTTGATGGGTGTTGAAATTTTGAGTGATTTTGGTATGTGTGTATCTAAAGTGTGCAACATATTTATATCTCAGCATGTCATGAATGTTTGATGTACACGTCACATGCTAAAAACGCGATCAGTGGTGTGTTTGTTGTTTTTTTTCTTATGAGTCCAAAAAAGTCAGACAGCGTTCGTGATCTTGTTTTGCAGGAGGCCCAGAGTTGTAGCATCCCGCTGTCTCTTCATTTGGACATCGAGTGGACTAAATATGGATCCCTGGTAAACCCTCAAGCTCAGATTGTGAGCATCAGAGAAATCATCCAGACCAACACCAGCAGTTTGGTAAGAAACAGAGATTCCGATAGTGGAACAGAAATATTTAATTTACCTTTAAGACAAATGTGTCTGTTTTTGTACCTGCTGGCTGTCTTGTTGGTAATCACATCAACCTCAGTTCAACTAGATGAAGGATTTAAGTCAGCCTGCAAAAAAGTAAGCTCTAGTTTTTAGAAACTTATCAGTGCAGAAAATTAAGGAAATCTTAAAATAAAGAAAGTTTAATTCCTACCAACAAGCAGCAGATTGACACAGATTTTTATGGATTAGATGTTTTCATCTGTTTAAATCCCAGGGTGTGTGAAGTCCAGAGAGGACACTTTTTCAGGGTCATTTTTTTGTAAATTTTACAGCCTTTTATGCTGATGCTGCTCAAACACTACAAAAGAAATCACATCCCTAACTGCTGACACTGGGCAAAATGTGATCCTGCTCCTACACTGATGATTTAAAACTCCCATCAGGCAACAGGACTCTAAACTTTGAGTGAAAACCTAAATATCGAATAAGATTATTATGATGTTGTAATTGAAAAATCTGCACACAGCATTGCTAAGAAAAAGCCACAGAGAACACAAAAATACCTCTGATATTCTGTTGATCATAATGAAGCCGTGATGAGGATCTCTCAGTGAAAAGGGTTCATACTGGACTCTCGGTTCTAAATCACTTTTTCTATTTAGATACATGGATTTGAGGTGTCTGTCTCTGCAGAAAACGTCCTCTGTAGGGTGTTTCTGTAAATCAGACAACAGCAGAGTTGCTTTAGGAGCTTTGAGGAAAAAGGCAGCAGGTTGGAGCTGAACAGACACAGAAGACCCAGGCAGCATTTTTGTTCATCTCCTTAACTCTTTGTTAGTCTATAACAGACGCTGAAGAAATTAATGCATCTTACCATGATGCTGGCACGACTGATGGTAGTGACAGAGGACAAACACAAACACACTGACATGCGCACAGACAGGCAGCAGATAAATAGATGTAAATGAAGCCCTTTTCTGTGGGGTTTTATAAAGTTGTTGGTGATTTTTGTGTTCTTGAGAGCTCAGCTACTGAACAATCAATCAGAATTTTGTTGTCTCTGTTTCATCACTTAAAGGGATATTCCGGCGTAAAATTAACTTAAGGTCAAACACACCGTAACACCTTAGACACCCCCTCAAGAGATGAATGTTGCTGACTGCTTGCTTCTCTAGTTACACCAACCACGACCACACGATAGGAGTACATAATCATAAATGTTCTTCCTTGAGCTGCGAAACTTCACCTGCTGTTCTGAGCATTATGTGTGGCTATAGAGTGGCTTTTTGGTTGAGGTTGGCATGGAGACGTAGACCGCTGTGTATTGCTATCGTGCGGTCATTACTAAAGTTGGTATAACTAGAGAAGCAAGCAGTCGGCAACATTCATCTGTGTTACGTAGTGTTTGATCATGACTTAATTTGATGCCGGAATATCCTCTTTAACTTTCATTAACAGCTTAGCCGTAGTCTTTCAATTATCACTCATGTCTTTCTAAGATATTTCAACCGATTTTTGCAGTATTAGAAAGGACAGCTGAGCAGAGACAGAAGATGTGGGGAGAAGGCAGTTTAAAGCAGCTTTAGATTTAAAGCTTTGGGATCCTGTCAGAGATAAAATTGACAAAAGTCTAATTATTTTAAAAGACATAGTATGAAAAAGCATTGAGGTATCATTTTGTTGAACCTTCCTGTCTACGTTGTGGCTGACTGTGGAGTTTCTTCCTCAGGCTCTGCTCTCAGCAGGCAGCAGCATCCTTTCAGTCAGCAGCTCAGTGAGCTTCACACCTGTGTCTGCACCTGCACGTCCAGGTTACAGAGCCACGCCCACCATCAACGCCAAACTGCCCTTTGACTTCTTCTTCCCGTTTGTCTGAACATGTGTGAACAAGCTGTTACTGTGTGGATACGGTGTAAAAAGTGTACAAACATGCTTTTTTATATTATTTAATAAATGTTTTATAATAAACAAAATCAATTGTTTTATCTCTTTTTTTTACAAAGCATGTGATGTAAAGATTTAAATGTTTTCTGTACAATTCATCAGTCTGAGGAATAATGCTTCTGATATATACAAGTAGCTAGCTCTTTTTGAAAATCTGTCACTTCATCAAGCACACATTTAATTTGTTCCCTTCAACAGGATGAGATTTCTCTACAGGTGATGTGAAAAAACCACGAGTTATTCAAACATGGCCTGAAATAAAAGGACATCGTGCAAAGTGTTATTAGGAATGCAAAGTGTTACATAGAGGCTGAAGACATGTATGAGAGTGGACAGTAGCTCCACTGCAGCTGTGGCAGTGAGTCAGAAGTCGACTCCATGTTTCTTTAGCAGAGCTTGGAGTGCCTGGTTCTCTTTTTCCTGCAGACACAAAGACAGAAAGAGTCAGCCTCACTTAAAGCAGTCAACAACACTTTGAGTTTGTTATTATCCACATTTACCAGGTTAGTTTCAGTGGACATCTGAAAGAAATACTGTGTCTGGATTCAAAGCTCTCATCATTTGTTTCAGGTGGACGTACAGTATATCTGATCTGATTTGACTGTTTGTTTTTTCTCCATTATGGACTTGTCTGCAATTTTTATTTATGTCTTAGAATCAGAGTTAGAATTGTTTTAGTAAAAATAAAATTATTGGTTGTCCAACAAACTAGGACAAAAGTAACTTTATAAAGAGAGAAAACTGTCCCCCACATTTAAATATTTACTTTTTAAAAGTATTTAAATGAGACTCAAAAACACCCACTGTGTATTATATTAACAGGAAAAGGACAAAATTCCTTCATTTGATGTTGTGTAAATTATAACAACCCCGAGGACATCATATATTTACAGTCCTCACAATAATAATCTCTGCCACCTCTTTTGGAATAATCAAAGAGCTAAACCAGTACTATTGTCTTCACCAGTGTTTAGAACTTTACTATCTGATATAACATGTCAAGAATCACCAGTTTGTCGTTGCGTTCCTGCAGCTCTGTGACTCTCTGGACCAGGTGGTCATAGCTCTCTTTCAGCTTGTGGATGTGCTGGTGGGCTCGGGTCTTTACAGATACCAGGATACCTGCAACGCATTCAAAAAGTGACCTTCATGTGGAAAAACAACACAACACTGCTTATGGGCCAGGCACATGTTAACCATGATGTTGTATTGTATTGACGTTATATGTTGAGAGAGAGAACGAGAGAGACCTGTTCACAGTGATTTAAAAGTGAAATGCTGACCCATTACATAGGATCCTTTGTTGTATTTTTATTGCCTGATGCTCTGATTATTTTCAATGGGTGACAAGTCAGTTTACCATCAGGACTCTTCTAATACAGAGCCATGCTGTTGTAATCTCTGCAGAATGTGGTTTGTCATTGACTTGCTAAAATATGGTTTGATTTTTTGTGATGCAGTTACAGCAGTCTGTTTCACTTCTTTTGGTTGAAGCAATCTTTAAATGTTATTTTAGTATTTAAGACCCCAAATCAAGCAAAATGAGGCTCGAGTTCAAAAGTATTGATGTTAATCTTTGACTGTAGCTGAGCTCCAGCTGAACACTGACTTCCAGATTGTTCTTTTAATTTTTATAACATCCTCAAGAGGCTTTCAGTCTAAAGTACTGACCGTTGATGATCCTGGCCACCCTCCAGAGTCGCAGCAGGATGAGGAGACCCATCCCATCAAAGGCATCCTCGTGAAAGATGAAGACGATGTCCAGCACAAAGGAAACCAACACCACCAAACCATCAAACACCTCAAACAAGTGCTGAAAGAACTCCAGGCGGTACGCGTACAGTTTACCAACCAGCTCCACCATGAAGAAGGTGAGGAGAGCCAGACTCAGGTAGTGAAATATCTGCAAACACTCACTGTATCAGTGCATTGTGTTAACATCTCAATGAGTTTTCTTGGAATAAGTGGTTTATAACAAATCTGAGGCTCACCTCTGGAGCAATGTGACCGTGCTCCAACTTGATCACCGACAGATCTATAAGCAGCTCTGCCAAAACAAAGATGGCGTCCAGAACAACCAAACACACCACCGCCACCTGGAAGCAAAAGCAAACAATTAGAAGAAGAAGAAATGTTGTGTTCTTTACAACAACAAAAAATAAAAGGTACTCATATCATATCAGCCAAAATGAGTTTAAAAATATCAGGAAAAATTTTGAATCGTGTATCCCTAATAATAATGTTGGGTCTGGAGAAAACTCATAACTCTTTTTTCTGTAGATCACAGCTTTAGGTACCAAAGACTGTTGGTGCCAGGCATTTGAAGAAAATGTGACAGAATCAACCTTAAAAAAATGAATAAGCCTTAAAGAACTGGTGGAAATCCAAAAAAATAAAGTTTCTGTACCAAAATTAAGTCTGTCCTGGATGCAATTTCAAAATAAAAGCACTGTGTAAAAACAAGGGGGGTATCTCTCACTGACTATATAAAACCTGAATGTAGCGTTGCTGCATTACTCATTAGTTTGTGAAAGAGAGTTTTGAAACATATCAGCTGCAGTCGCTGCATTAGAAATGCTGGCTCAACCAAACTTTTGATTAGAGACCTTTAGCCTCCTTGCAGGTAGAAACAGTGTGCCCACCTGTCAGTCAAGTCAGTTGTGTTTGGTAGCTGTTCTCTTGACCTTAATATCCTCAAAACAAGCATGTTACGAAAAGATTCACTCCCTGTACAGAGTGAGCTGATGGATACATAACTTATTCAGACTAAAAGTGCTTTTTGAACATGACTGAAAATGTGTTTATTTTCTGCAGGCAGCCTCTAGTTTTCATGCTTGTGTGAATACAGCCCTGAATTTATATTTTTATTGAGTATTTTGACTGATCTTAATCATTAGTTTAATTTACATCTGAATGCTGCATGTGTCTGAAGCATCAGGGCAGGAAACTCAGTCAAGATCAGGGTTTACTATACCAAAGTGAACTACTTGATGATAACACATCACTTATATATTCTAAAGTCAGCTTTAGAATATATAAGTGCTCCTGTGGGAAACCTTCTGACTGTATCGATCGGTAAAGGAGGAGGTTTTTTATTTGCTTATGTGTTGAGAATTAAGAGACTGAAGAAAAAAAGAAATTACAATAAATTTCAAAAGCAAAGTCAAATGTTGTTAATTAAATCGAGCTGATGTATAACAAATGAAGCCTCAGATGCACTGACCAGCATACCTGGAAACGGTCAGAGCTGTATAATCTCTTCAGAGCTTCTCTGAAGGTCAGCGTTGTTGGGTACGCGCCGGCAGCTGGATTCAGATCCTCATTGGCCACATGTAGCTCTTCCTCCTCAATTTCGACCAGTTTCTCGTCGCCCACAGTGGTGAAATACCTCAGGTACCGAGCCATAATGGCGGGCTCTAGAGAAGGTTGAGGACCACTTCCTGCTTCAGGGGGAAGGAGGAGCGAGCAGGTCAATTAAGAGGGATCTGTAACAAGATATTTCAGCTGCTTTTAAATACAACTTTCCTTTACAGGATCTTTTTAGTCAATTCAGGTCATGTATTTGGCTGTGCTGAATGATACAAACTCAAGATTTATGTTTGCAGACTGATAACACTGGTGTAGCTGGTTTTAATCAAGGTATGAGGGATTCTACAGGTCTTTACCCAGGCCCATTTCAGAGGGACAAACCTCTAAAAAATAAAATAGTTATATCATCAGCCACAGAATAAAACACATTTATTTAGCCATGGAGGAAATTAAATCCAGTGAAATGTTCAATGATTTCTCAATGTTTTCTTTCAGCTTGTTTTTCTGTAATGTTTTTCTAATGTCTGTGATGTCAGCTCTCTGAATTCTCCTATACATAAACTTGCCTTGTCCATCAAGATATTTGATATTTGCATTTTCAGACATCATCCATGTGCCAACATGCATCAGCCATTATAAAAAAAAAAGTATTTGCCCAACAATAGAAAGGACAAAACAATTTTTTTCATGAGATTTCAATTTATCAAGAGGCTCCAGTGCTGATACTGACTCATACTATTTTTGTTCATCACACTGTATTGCAGAGTGTGATAGCTCGTTGCATGTTTTCCCAGTAACATGCAGGCTCACTTAGATAGTGGACTTTTTTAGGTGTGTATTTTTAACAGATTTGAGCATGCACACCTACCGAGAAGACTTTAATCCAGAAAAAAAGAAGGAAATAATCAATAATCCCTGTTGCTTTGTTGTATGAGCTGCAGAGAGTGCTAAGAAGACTGCAACCTGCAAACTCAGAGCACCTTTTGCTGGACAGACTACATAGACAGCTTTTCTCAAACCTGACCAGCACAGTTTGCATCTGCAACTTTTGCAGATTTAGGGTTTCCCATTTGGATTCATGAGAAGTGGAGACATGCAATGATGACATCTCTGTGATGAGTTCATTTCAGAGAATAGTATCAGCAATCTCATCAGTTTACTTCCACCCTGAACTCTGCATGATGAGCAGATTGCTCCACACATTGGATAATGCGACTTCTCTTTTTCTGGGTTTGCAACATGGTGTTGAGAAAGCAAACCATGTCTCTGCCTTGTGTCAGGAGGAAGCTGTAGCTGTGGGCATCCTCCAAAACAATCCCCTGCATTCACCCAATCCAGGAGCTCATTTAAGATAGGGTCATGAGATTGTTTACATTTATAGAAAATATAATTTTGATCTTGCTGCATGTAAATATATCAAATGGGCACAATAGTCTAGAGGACCTTTACAGTTAAATGACAACAGAGCACGGGGATTATCGGATCCAGGACCCTGCAGCAGGAGGATTCACAAAATAAAACAAGGTTTGACAAGAGTAAAAGAAAATCAGCTGACACACAGAAATACACATCAAAGTTTAGTATAAGCAGATGTGAGTCTGCAGCACCCAACAACAGCCAATTTCACAAGTGAGTTTGATGATAAAAAATGTGACACATTCATCAGCAACAACAGAAAAGGGAGATTGAAGAGAGTTTGGTCACAGATTACGATGTTGTAATTTTTCCTTCAAGATTTTGCAGATTAAAGTAGCCTCGCACTTTTGAGTGTTTGTTTTACCCTTTAGCCGTAGCTAAGATCGCAGCTGCAGGATACTGGGCTGAAACTCGTGATGAAAACATCCGTTGAGCATGTTTCTGCCATGTAAGCGTTTTATCAGACACTAATGTCAAAAAGTTCAGAGGACCGGAGTGCGGAGATTTGGCGCTTCACAGGTGAAACTCTGAAAAATCTGAAAGCGTTACTGCAGAGTAAAAGACTTACCTCCTTTTCTTCCTTTGTAGTTTAAGGGGATCCTCAAAATCTCTGATTTTCTCAGAGGGAAAAATCCTCTTCAACTCCGTTTACTTCATGACGACAAACTCCGCCTCAAACCAGCCCCCTGTCCGGTCCGGAGTGTTCGGCCAGACCCCGTTTGAAAAAATGAAGATTGTCGCAGAGCCGCAAACTTGAAAAACACTTTACCAACAACAGACACTTTCACACGAACTTCGAGTCATATTTTTCCAATAAAACCAATTATAAAAACTTTTTGTCGGCTATTTACAAGCCGAACTGGTCTACTCCCCTCAACAATAAAAGCCTGATCTTCAAAGGTGACTACAATGCACCATTTATTATTAACAAGACGTTTAAGAGTAAAGAAGTTCGCTGTAAAGTAACGGATTTCAAGGGACTGCTCCTTATTAACGTCTTATTGCCATATGGCTGTGTGAAGCTCTACGCTTTATGCTAATATTTTGTAAACGACATAGTTTGTCCTATCTATCAATCATCTTTCTCCTGAAAAAATATGCAAATTTAACGATTAGTTATTCATATATATCAGATCCACTACTTTGCATATTAATAGCACCCACATAAAAAACGATCAGATTCGCTGCCTGCTATGGGGTGCCGTTTGTAAAGCAGCCCATTATAAAAACAACAGCAAGATTTGGTCACATTTAGCAAAACAACAGCAAGATTTAGTCACATTTAGCTTCAAACAGCATTTAAAAAAGTGATGTGAATTTTCGGCAGTCATTATTTTGCGCATTTACAACAACATTTAAATACTAAAACTAAATGTTAAATGTTAAATCTAAATGCTAAATATAAATCTTAAATATATATGTTAAATCTAAATGTTAAATCTAAATCTAAATGTTAAATATAAATCTAAATGTTAAATCTAAATCTAAATGTTAAATCTAAATGTGTTGGGCGAAACTAAATATTTAGCTAATATGCAAATTCACGGTCGGAAACCGGAAGTGCCAAAATAAAAGCTCCAGAAGACTATTAGAAAGACTCGAGTTTTCAGTGTCGCTTCTCCGTATGGCGCGGACACTGTACGAACCATAGACTGTATATAAGATACATATATGTAGCATATACATATATACTTATATACAGTCCATGGTTTCGAACCCCGGCTTCCTGCGTCCCAGTCGTCCGCGTTACCCGTATGGCCAAAGCACTTCATGAATAGATAAGGTGCCATGGAGTATTATGACGTGTGCGCCTGCATGTGTTTGTGCGTGTGTTCGTACAGTGTCCGCGCCATACGGAGAAGCGACACTGAAAACTCGAGTCTTTCCAATAAAGTTTTTGTTGTTGCTGTCGCTATTGTAGGTAGTTATTAACACGAAACGTCACCCCAAGTATTTGTTCCCCCCTTAAATTGGTTTTAATTCGTTTTCTCCGACACAGGAATCATCAATATGACCTTCTGGAGCTTTTATTTTGGCACTTCCGGTTTCCGACCGTGAATTTGCATATTAGCTAAATATTTAGTTTCGCCCAACACATTTAGATTTAACATTTAGATTTAACATTTAGATTTAACATTTAACATTTAGATTTATATTTAACATTTAGATTTATATTTAACATTTAGATTTAACATATATATTTAAGATTTATATTTAGCATTTAGATTTAACATTTAACATTTAGTTTTAGTATTTAAATGTTGTGGTAAATGCGCAAAAAAATGACTGCCGAAAATTCACATCACTTTTTTAAATGCTGTTTGAAGCTAAATGTGACTAAATCTTGCTGTTGTTTTGCTAAATGTGACCAAATCTTGCTGTTGTTTTTATAATGGGCTGCTTTACAAACGGCACCCCATAGCCTGCAGCCTACATTTCATCGGTGAGTGTTGTGTATCTAAAAAAAGTTATCGTTATGTGTCTTGGCTACTGCAGCAGTCTTTGTTACCACACTGCCACCTGCTGTCTGAAGGAGAAACTTTAATATATTTTGAATCCTTGCTGTACAATGTGAACCATTCTTTAAACAGTCTGTGGTGTGGTTTTTAAATAAGGTAATATCAGTAAACAATTGAAACACCAGCCGTCATTAAGAGTAAGGATGATTCATTAACAACTCCAAGCTTTTGTCCCATCAATTAAATGTTTTAAATAATTAATTGCAACATAAAACATAATAGGACAGATTTATGACTGATAGTTACATAAACTGAAGATGAATTAGGAATGAAGAGGTCTGTAACATGTAAAAGCTGAAATGGGAAAAATTAAAGTGAAAAGATCAGCATCATCTTTGGAGGTTGTTTTAGATGAGATGAGGTGAGATGAGATTAGATTAGATTCAACCTCAATGTCATTGCTCAAGTAGTGCAAGAACTGAACAACAAAATGCAGTTCAGCATCAAATCAGAAGCTCAAACAAAATATAAGGCACTACGTAGAGTGCCATACAAGTGAATATGCTTAATGGGACATGTCATGCCCACAGAGTGCCCAACCTTCATGGGTTTATAAGACACCAAAGATACGGCTGCAGCGGCAGAGGTTTAATTCATGAAAGATTTATTTCAAAGTACCATGCTCCTATTCCAGTTCAGTCTGTAACATTGTATCTTGCCTTTTCTCCCAGGCTTTGCAGAGAAAAGTCTACTACTAAGAAGGTTCCTCCGCTGAAACACAACTCAGGTTTTTCATAGTCATCCAACAGGAGAAACCAGCATTAACTGATCATTATACCAAAAAGCATATCCCTTGAGTCATCATAGATGGGACAGTAAAAAAACAAAAAAAGAATCTCATATTCATTTTCACCAAACTTATACAACAAACTCTCTCCTACCCTGGAGTGGCATTACACCTGCAGGACTCTGAAACTAATGGCGATGTTCCTGGACATCACTGTGCACAGGAGGATCTTTGTCTTTTAGTTAACCTCCTCATGAAGGTTACAGTCCTTATACAACTGCAGGACAGAATTTGTCAGTCCAGTTGCTGGTGGTCCTGTTTGCATTTGGAGCCCATAAAAAGAAATCACTCTTAATTTCAGTCTGTTGTATAACAGCTTAAAAAGTCCTCATGGCAACTTTGAAGTCAATTTGTGTCTCTTGCAGCTTTAAATATTGTTTTGCTTATTTCTGCACCCCTTTGCAGCCTTTTGGCATCTTTTTGAGACTTCGGTGTTGTTTTTGTTGTGTTTTTAAGCTCTATCACTTATTTCCAAGCATTTGGTGTCAGATTGTGCCCATCCTTGAATTTAAGTTTCTTATATAATTGTTGGTTTGTGTCTCTGGGGTTGTTCACTGTTTTATTGCAGCTCTTTCTCATCTTTATTTGGCCTCACTTGTCTTTGCTGCTCTATAGAATCCTCTTGTGGGTTACTTTGAGTCCATTTGTGCATCTCCTCTTAGTTTTTGTTGTAGTTATTTTTGCTCTTTGTGGTCATCTGAAGCTTAGGAGGTAGAGCGGTCGTCCAATAACTGGAAGGTTGGCAGTTCGATTCCTCCCTATCCCCAGTCTGCTCGTTGTGTCCTTGGGCAAGACACTTAACCCACCTTGCTCCCAGTGTGTGTCCTCCACTGGTGTATGATTGTGAGTGTTGAGTGGTGGTGGTCGGAGAGGCCGTACACGCAAACTGGCAGCCATGTTTCTGTCAGTCTGCCCCAGGGCAACTGTGACTACTAAGGTAGTTTACCACCACCGAGGTGTGAATGTGTGAGCGAATGAATGATGTATCCAATGTAAAGTGCTATATGAAATCTGATGCATTATTATGTCTCCTGTCTTTGCCGCTATTCAGCATCTATTTATGGTTTTTGTTTTCTATCTGTGGTTGTCTTAAGTCTAATTATGTTGATCCTGCAGTTTGCTTAATTATAAGAGATTACTTATTTTTTAAAGGTTTTACTGCTACCTATTGTCTCCTCTTGTGAAATCTTGAATGTGTCTGTTAATAGCTGTCATTGCTGCACTCGTTTTTTCCTCCACAGGATCTCTGTACCTCTGCTGGCTGACACAGAGACAGAGCTGATCCATCCCTGAACATAAACCCTGGGTAGAGGGGTTCAGTGAAGGTAGAGTGGAAGGTGTGCAGGTGGATGAGTGAGTCGGCGCTGACTCTGTAGAAGGACAGTGTGCCGGCGTGCCAGTCCAGATATACTCCTACTCTCTTTGGGAGGAATGCCCGAGGGATGCAGATCTTTTCTGAGCTGTCACTGTGCCACGCAGAGATTAGTTTGGCAGAAGCGAACAAAGACCAAGATGTGTCGTTCCTTCCTAGCCTGCACAAAATGTCATCTCCCTTCCTTTGGATTCCTTTGTAAGTGACTCCGATAGAAAGCCACCCTTTCCTCTCCACCTCCCAGTAGCAGCGACCTTTTATACCTCTATCACATAGAACCGCATAGAGAAAGTCAAATCTGTCAGGGTGATCGGGGTATGGCAGCTCCTGGCTCACACTCTCTGCTTTGCTGTTTTCTTCAGAAAGGAGAACTTGTCTGTTGGCTGTGTTTGGGTCCAGTCTGAGTTTACAGAAATCTAAAAACAAAAAACAAACAAAAAAAAAGTTAAACAAGAAGAATATATTTGATATGACCTCAAAACGTTGAACTAAAACTTGTCCACAGAGCAACAACAAAAAAGGAGTGAAGATAAAAAAATATACATATATATCCCCAAAACTGTCCATGTTTGCGCCCAAAAGCGACTAAAACACAGAGTAAGTAAAGGGAAGCTAGATGAGCTACAGATGCTTGACTCACATCAAAGTTTCCTCACCTTTTCAAAGTCACTACAAGATAAAAAGGATTTTTTAGGAAAAGCTAGATTCCACAACTGTTTTTATTTGTTCATTCATTTTAAAATTCCCATCTATTATCAGACCCAGATTCTTCACAGAGTTCAAAAAATGATCTGAGTTTAGTCCAAATATGATCACTTTAATCTTGCTTTCATCTAGCTTTAGGAACACAAGAGCCATCCAAGCTGTGATGCCACTGAGGCAGTCAGCAGGGGCAAGGAGTCGTACTGTCCATCTTTCTCAAGGGCAAGTACAGCTGTGGATCATCGGCATAGAAGTAAAAAAGATAATACATACTTTAAAAAAATAGACCCTAAAGGAAACAAAGAGAAAACAACGAGACCAAGGATGGAGCCTTGGGGGACAGCTTAAGTCTCACTTATGCGTGTACTGATACGCTGGGATAAGATTATTAATTACTCAGTTTTGCAAAATGTTATATTTTAAATATAAATTGGTGCCTCAGTTGGTGTTTTTTAATATTATGATTATCATTTTTAATAATGCTTAAAATATGCACTTCTAGAGCGGAAAAAATTTCTTTTAACACAGCAAGTGTACTAAAATATCACAGCTACACCAAGAATTGTACATTTTCATTTTCAAAAATCACTCCAAACCACACATTTGGATTGATAGATCAAATTGTCTTATCACCCAGCCCTTAATTTACTGGTAGCCACCAGGACTAAGCTTTAGAAGTTACCGCAAAGAGCTGCACAGAATCAGCTTCTTGGGAGCTTTGCTGAATGTGATGAAAACTACAACAAAGGAAGACAGTTTAAAGTCAGTGAATAACAGTCTGTGGCTGCTCTCAGCCAAGCTGGAAAGGAAAGCAGAGACACTTCACAGGAATGTCCCGATGCTCCTGGGTAAAAATAAATAATGGGTTGAAAGAAGCTCCATTCTTGTTATACTAGGATTTTCATCTTTCATCAGAAAACATATATGTAAAAATAAAACAAAAAAATAGCTACATACACAGAAATGGTTTTGAATCCTCACATGAAGAATCTGCCTGCACTTCCTCCATAAAATAATGTCAAAAATATTTGATTTGATTTGATTTTGTGTTTTTAGGAATCCAACTAAAGCTCCACTTACATTTTCTTAGACCAGGTTTTACCCACTGCTCTCCTCCGTGGTCAACCCTGAAAGGAAGGGAAATCAGAGAGGTTGGTATATTAATAAATTCAGTTTGGCTACTTTTGTTCGCTACATTCATATCTGTTAACTCAATGTGCATACTGAGGATTGAGACATTCTGCAGATCATCGCACAAGTCATTTCACAGTGCCTTTGTAAAAGAGTAAGTCTAAACTGTACTCAGTATGTGCTAAATATCTTCTCCGAAGAGTGAAGGACGTGGCATCCATGATTTCCAAAAGAAATGTTTGATCATCTCAGGACAGTTTCTCTCAGTCCATCTTTAATGGGAGCATTTTCCAGGGAAGTGTACACTGTTCTGTATCATATTTATATATGGTTTCCTCTGTACATGGTACAGGTCCTTTGTACCTTGATGTAACAGGGGGGTATCATCACAGGCTCTTCCATACCTGACAGTGTCGAGTCTCCAGTTTGGATCCTCCACACCAGTCATAAGCAGTTCTTTTCCCAGGTCGCCAGGATGATTGTATGTGAGGTCCAGCTCCCTCAGGTGAGAAGGGTTAGAGCTCAAAGCTGAAGCTAGAGAGACAAAGCCCTTGTCTGTGATCATACAACCAGAAAGTCTGCAAACAAACAGAAAAAGAACAGTTTCCAAACCAAAAGCTGACTGGAAAAGTTAACAAACCCTTTAAAGTTGTGCTCATAGTAGATCACTTAATATTACTCAAACAAAAAAACACTAAGACATTGGGTGGGAAAGGTAAAGTGAACAGTATGATGAACTGGTGGATAAGTTTTTACTCGAGAGTCTCCAGTCTGCAGTTTAAACTCTCCAGACCAGCAGAGAGCAGCTTCACCCCCGAGTCCTGCAGATCATTGTTGGCCAAGTCCAGCTCTCTCAGGCAGCATGACTCAGAGCTGAGGATGGAGGACAGCGCTTTGCAGCTTCTCTCTGTCAGGTTGCAGCCACTTAGTCTGACAATGAAAAAAAAAGTTCTGATAATGCAACAATTTCTCTTTTTTTGAAAGTTTATTCAAGTTACAGCAATGCATTGACAATAAGGGCCTGTGTCTACTGACAGCTTTTTTGCCAGCTTTTTTGTGGCCATGGGTGCTGCTTTTTTGCCAGCAGCACCCATGGCCACAACTGTTCCAGAGTGTCTTGCACCACTTGCATTTGCCTTATGTCTATTTTGCTCAAAAACTTATACAGAGAAAACAAAAACAACAGAAATGTGCCTAGACATTGATAGCAGCCATATACCTGCAATCAGTATCCTCCAACAACAACAACAACACAGTGTCCACAGTATGAAAAATCTGCATTTGGGACATTTGGTAACAGTATGCAAGGGAGTCTGAGAGTAAGTGCAATATCTGGGCATTTTCATGTACTGTGTAATTCATTTTTTGTTGCATACTACATACTAAATTTTCAAATTCAACCAAAACAAACAAGGTCAAATAAGGCCCGCAATAAGTCTACATACATGGATTTTTTTGAAGTTTTGACCACCGGCAGCAGCCTCAGTAGAGCCTCTTCTGAAGCCAAGTATTTCTTCAGGTCGAACACATCTAGGTTTTCTTCAGACGACAGTAAGATGAAGACCAAAGCTGACCACTGAGCAGGAGACAGTTCTTCCGTGGAAAGTCGACCTGAACTTAGGTAGAGTTGGATCTCTTCCACTAAAGAGTGGTCCTTCAGCTCATTCAGACAATGAAACAGATTGATGCTTTGCTCTGGAGAGGGATTCTCTTTCATTTTCTCTTTGATGTACTCAGCTACTTCCTGTCTGCTTTGAGAACAACTTTCCATCTGCATTGGCAAGCCTCTGAGTAGATTCTGATTGGACTCCAGAGACAGACCGAGGAGGAATCGGAGGAACAAGTCCAGGTGTCCGTTTGGACTCTGTAAGGCCCTGTCCACAGCTGTCTGGTAGAAGAGTGCAGATTTGTTGCATGTTTGTTCAAGTGTGTTGAAGGTTGATTCCTGAAGTTTATTTCCCAGAGGACTACACCCTGAGTTGATGAAGGTCAGGTGGACATAAAGAGCAGCCAGAAACTCCTGGACACTCAAGTGCACAAAGCAGAACATCTTATCTAGGAAAAGTCCTTTCTCCTCCTTAAAGATCTTTGTGAACACTCCTGAGTACACGGAGGCCGCTTCGACATCGATGCCACACTCTGTCAGGTCTGATTCATAAAATACCAGGCACCCTTTCAGCAGCTGCTCAAAGGCCAGTTTTCCCAGAGACCAGATCATGTCCCTGCTTTTTGGATTCCAGTGAGGATCTGTCTCCACTCCTCCATGAAACTTGACATTGCTCTGTTTCATCTGAACCACCAGGAAGTAGATGTACATCTCAGTCAGAGTCTTGGGGAGCTCTTCGCTCTCACTGGTCTTCATCATGTCTTCTAGGACTGTAGCTGTGATCCAGCAGAAAACCGGTATCTGGCACATGGTGTGGAGGTTCTGTGCTTTCTTGACATGGGCAATGATTCTAGCAGCCTGAATCTCATCTCTGAATTTCTTCCTGAAGTACTCCTCTTTCTGAGGGTCAGCGAACCCTCTGACCTCTGTCACCATGTCAACACACTCAGGAGGGATCTGATTGGCTGCTGCAGGCCGTGTAGTAATCCAGAGGCGAGCAGAGGGAAGCAGTTTCCTCCTGATGAGGTTTGTCAGCAACACATCCACTGAGGCGGGCTCTGTCGTATCAGTCAGGATCGGATTGTTGTTAAAGTCCAGAGGAAGTCGACACTCGTCCAGACCATCAAATATGAACACAATGTTAAACTCCTCAAACCTGTGGATCCCCGATTCTTTGGTTTCAGGAAAAAGGTGCTGGATGAGCCCCACCAAACTGAACTGTTTCCCTTTTAGCAAATTAAGCTCTTTGAAAGTGATTGGGAATGTGAACTGTGTATCTTGGTGAGTTTTGTCTTCTGCCCAGTCCAGAGCGAACTTCTGTGTTAATACTGTTTTCCCAATGCCGGCCACTCCCTTTGTCATCACCGTTCTGATGGGGACATCACCTCCTTGTTGTAAGATTTGGTCACAGGTGATTGTTTTGTCTGACTTCAATGACTTTCTGAATGCTGAATCAATCTGCCTGACCTCATGTTCATCACTGGCTGCTCTGGTTCCTCCCTCTGTGATGTAGAGGTCTGTGAAGATTTCTTTAAGGAGTGCTGGCTGTCCTGCTTTGGAAATCCCCTCAAACAAACACTGAAACCTCTCTTTCAGGTTTGATTTCAGTTTATTCTGGCATGCTGCAGGAGACACTGAAAGTAAACAACAAACGTGATGAAGAAGTCAATTGTGAAAAGAACAAAGAAGCACATTTCAGGATGCTGTTAATTATTTTTCTTGTCATTACTGACATGTATAAACTACTACCACCTACATTCTCGCCCACTCCCTTCTTATTAGGACCATATGGGCAAAATTTAACAGTGCTTATTGGTAGCATGTCTTTTGCAATACAATAACCTACTGCATCTGTGAGATCTTTGTGTCTCTGTGATGTTTTGTCGTAATGCGTGGCACTAGAGAAAGCAGACTGAATGGTCGGCTCTTTCGGCTGCACGGGCGCCACGCATTGCTCGTGCTCTTCTGCATGGCACTGCTTCAAGTGGTGAAAAAGATTTGAGGTATTCCCGCACTTTTTGAGATCAGGAACTCGGCATACTTTGCAGTGCACATTACTCTGCTTCATGTCCGACCTCAAAAAATCAAAATACCTCCACACCACCGACGTTTTCGTGCCAGTGTCATCATCTGTTGAGCCTTCATCTGCATTTCTGCCGGGGGTAGCACTTATTTTCTCACTGACAGTGTTGTCAGCTTTACCTGTTACAGTGCTATGGTTGCGTGTAGCTGCAGCCTGCTACTACACAGTTGTTTGCTACTCGGTTCTAATTCAGCACATGATTGGTTCAATGTGAAGCAGACCCGGTGAAACTCCCCTTTTCATTAGTCTACTTAAACATGGCAAAAGGTGAATATCGAAAAGCATGTTGATTATGTTCCATATTGATATTAAAGGAAATTAAATTTCGATATATATATCATTACCGTTTTATCGCCCAGCCCTAATCACAAGCTTGAAATCATAACTGTACCTTTTAAGAACTGTCATTAACATCCTTGCAAATGATAACTTGGTTAAGGTTATAGCCCTACCTGCTGGTTAAAGGTCAGTCTATGATACCCATTCTGTGCTTGAAGCACAGAATGCTCATAAGTATTGAGCTCATAGTATTGATCTTAACTCATCGATATACACCAAAATTTTGCTTATGGTAAATGCACTACTTAGTGTAGTAAGAAATGGCTGCAACATAGGTAGACCCTGCTACACATCTTACAGCTACAAGAGGCCCCAACATGCAGGGGGGTGCAGTGACATCACTGCTTGTGACTTTAACAATCCTTGCCACTCCTGTTGCAGCAACTTTTAGGTCATAGGAGCTTGATGGATTTGAAAGGGAGGATCGGTTGTCAGCTATCCTCATGCAGAGTAATGCTGCTGTTCTTGGGTAGACCAAAGCGGGATTCTTGCAAATATGCCAAGTTAATAAAATGTTCATTAAAACCAAAGTTGATCATTTGCAAATCATCTGAACCCCTATCTGATTTAAAAATGAGCAAAGACAACATTTTTAATGTTAAAATAAAAAAAAAATAGTATTGTTTAAGTAAAAAAAAAAAAAGGATTTATTTTAAATTTCTTGCCCCCTCATGTTTCCAAAAAAATGAGGGCATGGAAAATAAAGCATTCACAATAGATGTGTGATGCCAAAAAGGCACCTAGAAGAAAAAGTTTCAACTAATGAGGTTCTAACCTGTTAATAATGAACCTCATTAGTTCAGGACCTTACAAAAGGTCCTTCATGGAGGCTGAGATTCTCAGATGAGGCAAGGTTCATCACACTGTGAGAGCAAATAGTTCAATAATTCTCAGCATGTTCATCCGTGTAAAATGTCACAGAATGAGTGGATTTCATCATCCACAGAACATAATATCAGTAAATGATTCAGAGAATTTGGAGAAATCTTTGTTCTCAAGGGACAAGGACCAAAACCAAGACTGGATGGACCTGATCTTCAGATTGGACTCTTTAGTGGAAACCACTGTGTGGGCTCACTTAAACAAACAGAGTTTTCACACAATTGAAATTGTGTTTTGAAAAACTACAAAGCCATTAGTTTTCTTACTGTTGTGCAGAGAGTCAGCCACAGCATCCTGCTTCATTATCCTCAGGTAGTTCAGTGTGATCTTCATAAAAGCCTCTCGGTTGCTCCTCTTTAGCTCTTCTTCCTTATTGCTCACGTCTTCACCCTCTTTCCGGGTCTCCAAATATTCAGGATCATCTTGTTGTAGAACTCTTTTGAACCTTTCCAGCTCGGTCTTTGCAAAGCTGATAATGTGCTCCTCAAGCATCTGGAAACAAAACAGCATTGACTGAGCGACCTGGCACTAACATGCCCCTAACAGGCTCCAAATTCATGATGGAGTGAGATTTTATGCAGCTGGCAGCACTCTTCAAGCATGGACAAGACTGGTGAGTTTGTAAGACACACAGCTTTGAGCACCAAGTACCATAATTATGGAGCTAAATCCAGGCTAAAGGGTTTGTTATTTTGGAAAAAAAAGTGATTGAAAGAATTAAATCTAAAACTTTTCCCAGAGGCAACATAATCAGTGAAGGCCTTGAGCTTTCTCTAAATACTGTCACTCACAATCCCACGCCCTTTTCAGTTGATGCCATACAGGATCAAAAGTTTAAAACTGAAAAAATATGATCTCAAAGTGGAAAAAAAAAAGGTTGAAGGTGGAAATAAAATCTCAAACCTGAAAGCGTGATTTGACTATAAATAAAAAAACAAAAAATAAGATCCTAATCTGAAAACATTAAACCTGCATCTGAAAAAATAATACTTAAAACTTTTAAAAACTGACAATAAGTGATTTTATTGAAAGAACTCTAGAGCTGAATCAAAATTATATTTAAGTTGAAAAAAACTGTCATACAATTATTTTTATTTTAAATACACAGTGTTTTAATTTCTTTAAAATACATGTTCATACCTTGAACTCTCAGTTTCAGATTTTATTATTCCTATCGCATTTCTTTTGTTTTTAATCATCAAACCGTTTGGCCTGGATTTAGCTCCATACAAAATCAACCCAAATGCCTCACAGGAAATTAAAGCTGCAAAGATATGACCGCAAACATGTAAAAAGATGGGTGTTTGTCTTTAGTTTGAGTTAAATTGTATTGTCATATCTCCACTCACCTTAAATACAGAGTCCAAGTCTGTTTGGTGATGGTGTGCAGACTGGTCAGCTGCATTCACGAGGCTCTTCTGGTCAGTCCTGGTGAGTACACAGTGAGAAATATTAACAGCATGAGCTCATGTTTTCAGGTCTCTGAATGTGAACACTTGTCATAAATTTGACTGTTGTCTACTTCAGCAGTGAAAACAGAAATCAGCTGGAATCAAATTCAAATGAGCATTTTATCTTCAATTATTAATTCAAGGTCTGATAGGCTGTCTTTGTGCTGTTTTTGGTCAAAATCATACTTCAGTGTTTTGCAAATCTTTACTTTCTGCCTCTACAGTTAACACAGTGCCTTGATTTTGCAAAAGAATTCCTTAAAAATAGCATAATAACTGTAAATCTGGGTGACCAGAGCAACATACGAGTTTCACTATAATTTGCTTTTGTTTTTCCTGTTAAACAGAAAAGTTATTCCAAGCTAAATATTTATGAAATCCATATTTAATGATAAAGGAGAAGTTTGTGGAGCATCAAAAAAAAAAAACATCAAAAACTTACATGCAAACAAGTGATCATTGGTTTTAGCATGGGGGAATATGTTGATTCTTGAGCACAGACTACAGCAAAAGCAGTGCCTCTTAACTGTGAGACACTGAAATGGAAGGAACCCAGACAATACAAGAACCCTGCACCACAAAATGAGGCTATGAGGACCAAAATAAAAATATAAAATAGGTAAGAAAAATAAAATGCAATCAAAAAAGAAGGGTTAAAAGCAGAAAACAGGATAGTAGGTATAAAAGGACAACATTAAAGATGATAAAATAATAACAAAATAATAATGATAATAATAGTAATGATAAAATAGAATAACAAAAATGAGCAAGAGAAAAAAAAACAATAAAAGGCATAAAGGTTAATTAAGAAAATAGTATAAATATAACAAAAGCTAAAAAGACAATAAAGCCGAAATAAGATAGAGGTAAAAGAGAAATAAAAGTCAAAAAGACAAAGAGAAATCCTACTCAACAATAAGAAGTTATTTTTAAGCAGCTAATTTGAGTTTGCAGGGCAGCGTGGTTATGCTTCGGTTAGCACTGTTGCTCAGGAGGTTTAGGTTAGTTGGTTGTGTTAGAATTAGTTTTTCTGCTCAGATTTGTTAAAAGATTTTAACTATAAAAGCACAAATAGGAGAGGGTTAAAATCTTGGTTCTTGGTTGAACCTCTATGTCTGATTGAAGTTGAACATCTTCATTTCTTCTTTGTTTGAATGAAGTGTTTCTTACTTTATGTCAGGTTGGCTGTCTCTGAATGAAATAGGATCTTCTTTTGACTTCTTAGATATACGGCTGAGCTCAGACATGGTGGTTTTCTCCTTTAGGGTCCTAGGAAATAGAGAGGGTACAGACTGGGGGACCAGCATCCCTAAGTAAACTATCTAAAATATCTCATAAAAGGAGTCGAAGTCATACAGTTTTGCAGAACCAAAAGGACAGAAGAAATAGCTTGAACTGTGTGAGAATGTCTGAATCTCTGAAACCCCTTCAGTTCAGGATGTGAGTTTAGGTTGGCCAACAGAACCATCCATTTCCTTCATGTTTACCTAATGCATTAAATATCCTTTTAAAGGCACTAAGGAGTTTTCTGTTTACTAGAGTTTAGTATAAGTGTTCAGGTCTAATTTTCCATGAATAAAATCATGATGAGATTGTTTAAATCTTGACTCTTTGGTAAGGGAAGTAAGTTGGCAAACAGGAGTTTTACTTGTTTCGTTAGTTAATTTTCTTATTACATAAATGTTTTAACCTCTTGACTGATATAGAAGCAGGATGTCTTTCTCAGTAATTCACCACTTTGGACCAGACCACCTCTGTTTATATTTTCCTCTGCAAAGTTTTACAGCAAATATGTGAGAAATGTGCACCTGGAAAATGAGTCATGGTAAGTGTTGAGTATGATACCTTTCCATGATGAAATGAACCTGCAGCCTCTCCACTGAAAGAGAAAGAGAAAGAAAGAAAGAAGGACAGAAAGAAAGAAAGAAAGAAAGAAAGAAAGAAAGAAAGAAAGAAAGAAAGATCTCATTTCTAACACAACTTAATTTACAAATATTTTCAGTGTACGATATTACGTCTGTTAATTTATGAATATCAGTATTTAATTTTTTTCAGGCTTTTGTAAAAACAGGATTTAAGCACAGCTTCTCATCAACAACAGAACAAACAGCTAAAGTACAAGATCACTGAGATACAAACTCATCCACATTTCTCGTGAAAGAATAAAACCTGAAGTCTACAGTGACCCTGGCTCTGACCAAGGACACAAAACTTTGCAGTTATGCAGCAATTTTGCAGCAACTCTTCCCCCTGCACAGCTGCTCTCGTATATGGACAGTTTGGCTTGTCCCACAATAAGATGTAATAGCTGAACCTTTTTGCATGTTTCTTTTCATATCCTGCACCAAAAATAAAGGTAGTTTCAGACCAGGGCTTACCAAAGTTCTCAAAAATACTTTCACTTTGTTAAATAAAGCCAGCAGTCTTTTACAGTCCAGGAAACACTGAAAAACAGCCTCTGGCTCCTCACAGAATGGACTTGTACTAAATAAGAAAGAAAAGAGAGAATAAAGGAAAGGTTAGACAATAAATCCTCACACTGCTGACAGAAGAGCAGTCCTGTAAAATAATAATGACCCCTCCTACAACGACTGACTCCTCTCATTTTGGCATAAGTTTACAACTGCTTTTAAACCTCAAAATGAAGCAAATTAAATCTGTGTTTTCACATTATTTTACACCATACTCATTGATGAAAGTGTCTTCAGTGTTACTGCTTATAAAGTGATGAATCTGTTCAAAACTCTGAGGTCCACTTACCAACAAACAGATGACTTTCTCTCACTCTGCCAGTCGTCGGGAGACTATCTGTCACTCCTGCTCGTCTGTTTTTGAAAGGTCAGTCTGTGAGAAAGAGGAAGTGTAACTGATGTTAAGCAAACTCAAAAAGACAAAGGACCAAACCCTTTGGAGAAGTATGAGATAATGAGCTTTCATCTGAGTGTCTGTGCGGTCTGTAAAAATGTGCGTCACTCTAATGCTGGATTCACTGCATGAGGGCATGCAGTCAGACTGGTTTGTGCCAACTGACACCCTGGAGTAGTTTCACTTTCCTGAAGGACATTTTCATGAAGACATTATAAACTGTTAAATGTTAATACGCTGTAAAAGAAGAGCAGCGGCATCTCAGATTAAAAGAAAATTCTCTGTGTTCAACTAACCTGGAGTAAGTATGAGGAGGAAAAGTTCATGTCTGGTTCAAGTCTTGGGCCTAAAGAAGCTAAAACTGAACGTTGATAACAGACTTTAAAACACAAACACCCTAATACTTAAGGTGGCAAAGGTTGATGTGAATTTTTGAAAAGGTCCATCTCTGTAGTGAATCTCTGGTCAAGATACTTTCCTGAGTAGCAGCTGTTTCACAGCTATCAGCTAATGAAGTAAACCTCCCTCTGATGAAAACTTGGTGTGTTTATCCCATAGACTGTATATAAGATGGACAGAGTCTGCCTCCTCGCTGGGTGAAGCCACTCCGAGAACAGCAACCTCTGATGGTGGGCTGCAGTACAGGTCATAAATCCCGCCTCCGCCAGCAAAGCTTATGGAGCTGTGGACAAACTTTAGAAATTTATTACACAGAACATAAATTTTTCTCCCCCCTGGTTATGATGTTGACATGTAGTTACAGTAAGACTGGTTTGTGCTCAAGTCCTTTGTTTTCTGTACAGCTCCGTTTTTAAAAGTTAGTAGGGGGTTCATGTTTTCTATGATTGACACCTGGTATAGCCCATAGGCGTTCAGGGATTGCGTAGCTCTCCCGGGGGGATACGCTGTTTGAACCAAGCGTCATCACAGGGACTCTCGGCGACTGCGCAGCCGAATGCGCACAACGCTACTGCACAGCTCTGGTTTCAAGGAAGTGGAGAAAAACCCGGAAATACCGAGAGCTTTTTGGCTTCAAATCCGTATACAGGCGGAAGGCGGAACCAGGTTGTCCATCTTATATACAGTCTATGGTTTATCCTGGTTTAGGCTCAGGTTCAGGATATTTTTCGTGTTTTACAGTACTGTGTGTTTGATATCATTTTAAAGGAGACCCTCTTAGCTTTCATTCAAGCCCAATTGTAAATTATTTTGACAAACACAGAGAGAACTTGGGCTCCTCAAACATTTAGCGACATACATTTTTTTTTCACAATGTTCACCTAAATGACATTTCTTCTTTTAGCCTCATGATGTCTATGTCTATGAACAGCAGGGAAGCTGAAACACTAACAAGATTCTAAGGTTTGAAGAAGTGTATACTGTGCACAAACTATTTCACTGTGAGAAATTCCTGTAAACCATTAATCAGAAGGATGGTTTGGGTGAAAAGTCTCTCATACAGAAGGAGTTTGTTATTGATATGTGACATGGCTGAAAAGAACAATGTCATCTAAAAACAATGAAGTTTGAAGTGGAGAAAAGTCGTTTTCAAAATAATGTTTCCATTGTCTTGTCAAACATTAAAAAAAAAACAATTGAAATGTACAAAATGAAGAACATACTTCCCTCTCTCCCACAGCATTTCTCTTTTCTGATACTGTAATATTTATTGCACTCATAGGTCTTTATTGGCATAAAAAAAATAAACAATACAGGGACAGCAAAAACAAAGATAAGAGTTTAGAGTTCACAGCGAGACACTTGTTCTGTCCTCAAACAAGAGAAATACAGTACCGCCTATTACTAAATGTGGATTAAGTTAACTCCATTATTTCATTTTCTCAATCAGTTTATAGACGCATAAATTAAAAGTTCTGAGCTGCTTGGAAGATTGAACATCACTAAACTCTCGTAATCTGCACTCGTCCAGCTTTTTCATTTTACGGTAGCTGCAGTAGACTCACTCCACAGCTCCACCCCTCTGTTTTAGAGGATTTTGGTGAACACCTGCAGTCTGCAGGCACACACTGGTCTGGTAATGCAGTAGCTCTTGTTTTTGCCTGCATCCAAAGAAGTTTGATTGTTTTTTAAGACAAGGACAAAAGCAGAGTAAATGATCAGATCGCTGTTATTGCCCTGTTCATACCCCGGTCTCAAAATTCATGTAAAGTTCAACATAAGACCAGACTATTGCTTGTGGAGGCTGATAACGAATAATTCAAGTTGTTTTCTAATTTAAGTATGTTTGTGTGCAGTGGCAGGAAATGTGCATTTATTTACCAAACCTAATTTATTGAAGTCTTTTATTCCAGACATGTAAAATAACTGGAGTAGACATTCAAGTTTTGCAGATTCAGATTTTATTCAAGACTCTTAACAGTTATTACAGCAGGTGAAATACACAGAGCAAGCTTCATTTCTAGCCCCAAACCCCATCAGGTGAACCAGACAGTCTGAAAACAGGTGACCTGATGTCACGTCCAGTAAAAAGAACTCAAACTTCTCCGTTCATCCAGGACAGCCGGTCAAGTTTCAGCTGCATACGCTAAAAAATAAAGAAAATAAAGAATTAGCTGACAGCTCAAACCTGAAGCCCGGATTTGTATGTTCTGAGATGTGCAGCATGTCCCAGGTCTTCAGTCAGGTTCTGGTAAATCGTCTTTACGTGAACCTGTGCCAAAGTCCTGACGTTTCTCTCCCAATACAAAGATTCCACAGCAGAGAGGGAAGGTCTCTGCCATGGCAGTACAAGATTGGGTTTAAATTCACAATAAAATACTCTGGATCACATTCAAAATGTACCTCAGGCGGTCAGTCACAGCTCTACCCAGTGTTTGCTGCCCCCTTCAGGCCAGAGGCACCACCTGCTCCTACAAAGACGAGAGCAGCAGTCAGCACAGATAAGCCAGTCGGTTCTCCATCACTGACAGTCAAAAGCTTTGCTCAGAGATTCAAGATCACCATGGTGTTTGTCAGCATGATGTGTTATATTTTCGTCATCACAGCATAAGACGCAGCTGTTTTAGTGAAAAAGGTTCAGACACTCACCCCAGCTCAGTCAGGCTGCAGAGGGACATTCAGCTGCACACTGAGCAGCTCAGCAGAGGCTTGAAGTCTGAAAACAGATGGATGGAGGAAAGTTTGGTTTAAATAGGTTCACTTAGAGAACTTCAATGAACACTTGTATTAGTTTCTGATCATCTTTAAAACAATTAAGGTAAGAATTAGAAAGTCTAATGTTGACCTCAGGTGGGTCAAGCCCATTAAACAGCTACAGTTTTAACTGCAATTGTGTTTTGGACAGAGTTCGACCCTGTGCTGTCAGTGAATGTGTGGCCCTATACTAGGCCTGTCCAGCTGTTAGATCAGGACAGGCCACTCTCGTTGGGCCGCGCTCTGCAGCAGCTCAGAAGACACAGACTCTAAAACAGAGTCCGCACAGCTGAGACCAGGTGCAAAGACTTCATCTACCAGCGCTGTAACACTGATCCGGGCACAGACAAGGCCTGGTCAGCTGACTGAGAGCTGGAAGGAACCACATTAGGAGATCAGTGATTTCTGATACTACATACAGAGCTCCAGATCCATATATTTACCTTCAGCCTCACAAGCAAGGAATCAGGTTTGTTTGCTCTACCCCATCGTGGATGCGCCGCCTGTACAATTCCTCAGCAAGGGACACAGCATCTCTGCAAAGAACATAAATCTCAGATCAGTACAAAAAAAAAATACACTGAAGGTTTTGTGTGTTTTAATTCAGCTTGTTGTGCTTCGTCATTTAGTTATTTTACTGCAAAGGTCATCCCACTCATTTGATTCAATCTTTCAACTTTGTGAACCTTTAAAGTAAAAGATTTCAAGAAAGTAGCTTCAATTTCCACTATGTGCACGAGGACATCTTCCAATTGCATCTTAAAGTAAAGCGAGTGCTTTTATGTAAGGTGCAATTTTGAGGAAGACTTCCTGATCCATAGCCATCATTTATCTGTAAATTACAATACCTTACTTAATCCAAACAGTTTTCCAGATGTACAGAGACCTTGACGGTCAACTGCCAAATATTTATTACCCCCGAAAAAACTAAGCAATGCAAAAATTGAAAAGAAATGAGCAAAACTATTGTACGTAATACAAAAAGATTTCACAAATTGAAACGCGTGTTACAGGAATAACACAGTTACTACTTCTTTCATGAAATACTTGTCCTTTTATTCTTTAATATCTTTGTATTTGAGATTACTGATGTGTTTTTGCCTTCATAAGAAGCACAGTGTTCCTTTAGAACGATTAAACGGTACAAACTTTAGTTCTGCAGGAACTTTCTGTATCATACTGTATATACTGTACACTTATAAGGGTAGGTATGGCAGGTTAAGGACACCCGAAAGAGAAATACAGTATTACCACACATAATTGCTGGTTTAGCTTCTAAATTGATGACAATTATTATCTATCAAATTTTCTAATTAACTGAACGTAAAAAGCATCTCACGGTTACAGTGAACCCGTGTCCTGAAACAGCAACACTGTGAGTCAAACTTTTAGGAGAGGCATATCAAAATGGCCTCCGTCACATCTAGAATAAAAAGGTCCAAATATGAGAGGTCTGGGTATTGTGGTTTTAAATCAGAACCAGGTCCAGTGTGGTCCAGAGAAGGGAAAGGGTGAATCTGTTGAGGGGAGCCACGTGCTCTGGGGTCAGCACCAGCTACTCACAAGTATTTCACACAGCACATTTACAACCCTTTAAATCAACGGTCAGCGGATGTAATCAACGCTACCTCACCAGAGTTCAAACTATACTGTTCATGAGTTAAAGCGGCTGACATACTCACAATATTGATGCAAAGTCCCAGCAGAAGACGAGATACCATGGTCGAAGTCGGTTTAGACCAAGAGGCAGGGCGGAAGTCACGCTGATATTTATAAAAGTATGCCGCTTTGCATTGTGGGAAGACACAGTCTTCCAAAGATCGTCTAATAAAAAAAAAGACGGGTCACTCTTCAGTTTACCCGAAAGATATTACAGTGTAGAGTTGGCATAACACTGAAGTCTCATTTTGTAACATTAGCAAAACCTTTTTTAAACATTTTTTCCCTAATTTTGAGACAATTTCCTGGTTAATTTAGAAAAAAAGAGTAGGGTTCTTTTGAGGGAAGTCAACGCAACAAGCATTCTTACAGCTTATTGGTTTAAAATTCTACTATGTTGAAATTAGCACATACACGTTCCTGTACACCCTAAGAGTAGCTATCGGGTGGTCCCAGTTTATTTGAGCACAAAGTTGATTTGCATTAGATAGATTAATCTAAAGTAGAATAGTTTTCTTTTGGAGCTTTACTGATGATAAGTATGACATCGGGCTCTATTTTCATGCCCGACGGTGGCGTGGCGGACTGTGGCGGAGCCCTAAGAGTAAAACGAGAGAAACAATCCACACACTTCCGGTCTGTTGCAAAAAGAGCTTTACTGAAGCAAGCTTTTGGTCTGTTAGACCTTCATCAAGGCAGAGTGAAGGTTACAAACAGTGCTGGGGTTAATATGCTTGATTAGCAGCACCTATCAGCAGTGAAGCACTCTGGGTCAGTAGAGCATCATGGGAAATGCGGTCAGCAAAGACATGAAACAAACAGAGAGGAACAAGTTCATGCTGTGTACACATCAGGCTTTAGCCATCATAAAACAAAGCACAGCAAAGCAAAGTTCAGAATTAGATAGTTAAGTTATATAAACACACTCATGTCAAAATCCTCGTTTAGACCTGATGGTTGTTGTGCATCTAAGGTATAAATCCAAAATAGTTCCCGTTGGCATAATTTCCTGTCAACGTCACCCCCTCTGTATAAGGTTACTTGTTCTATACCCCGAAATCTAAGGGAAGAGAGAGGGTGTGAAAGATCATTAAGATGACAGGCAACAGTATAGTTTTCATCTCGTCTCCTAATGGAGCTCTTGGGCTCTATTTTTGTGTACGCTGGTGAGGCGGCGGAGGGTGGTGGACCCCGCCCAGTTGTATTTTCGTCTGGCAGAGCCTGGCGTACAGCCAGTTTGGTATTTTCATGGACTGAGGCGCACGGAGGCGAACCGAGATCCGCCAAGCTGGGCATGGTGGCGTGGCAGGGGGAGGAGTCGACAGAATTAACGGGCGCACTGACATTTTCGTGCTTGCCAGTGGCGTGTAAAGTGCGCTGAAAGCTCGCCGATTCAAACCTGGTCAGCTTTCAGCGCAGGCAGAGCGCAGCTGGTCTAGTACTATTTTGGTAGACCGGCGGCGTATCGGCATACGTCACTGATGCCTCACAGGCAGGTTTCCACAGTGTCAGGCACATTTCAGTGCAATAAATAATCATCAACAACTAATAATCTGAGACAGCACATACATTTAGATCTATAGATATAGTCTGATCTATATCTGATCTGATGAGCGTGTTTGGCACGCGTTTGGACACTCAACCTGACCGAATCAACACAGCTGACCCAGCATTACACACATGATGACGTTAACAAGATGTTTAATTTGTCCCCCTTTCTCTCTGTCTCCTTTTTCTCGTGCTGCTCGACTCGGGCATGTCTCCGTGTCCTCTCCGCATCCTAATGCTGCAGTGGCAAGGCTGAACAGATGACTTATTTTAGTGATCAGAGGAGTTATTTACATAGAAAATTTGAACAAAAAAGTAAAAGAAACTTTTATTTAAAATAACCTGTTTATCTAACGTCCTCACATCCTTAAAACTCTGTGAATATTCAATCCGTAGTTAGGCTTACATATGAATATCATAATATTCAATTGTGTGAGCTAAAATCATCTTAATCATCTGCGCCACACCGCCGGCGAGGCACGAAAAGCCCATCAAATCATCAAGAGGAGCACCAAACTCTTTCCAGAGTTTCTGGGACTTTGTTTTGTGATTTGCCCAACACCTCATAAATGCAGGAATAGTCAGGGCTGCCGAGATGTGTGTGCACATGCTGTATGCTGTTTATCAAAATGGATTGCATGTGGTACACAAACTGTGAAGCTAAAAGATGCTGTTAAAACCCTGGCCCCTTGTGTGAGCAGATGGAATTTGGGTCAAACCAGAAATTAAATTACAAGTGAAACTTTTTTTTTTCAAACTTTTTTCTGTAATTGTCATTTTTTTTATAATACAGTATATATCCAAGTCAAGCAAAGTCGAGATGTCTTTTAGGTTTTATTTCATGGTTAAGTTTACAACCTCAATTGCCAGCTTTATTTTCCAAGGTCCATTTCCAAACTAGAACCAAATCAGGATGAAATAACAGACATAATTTTCATAAACTGCACAAAGGAGATAACGTATTATCACGTTTTACAGTCAAAAATCTGGACTCATCCTTTAAGTCAATAGCTTTCTCTTTCAATTAATATTATTCAGTACATTGTAGATTGATACTGACATCAAAACTTTGAAGGAGCACATATGCAATCATGTCACAGCAGGAACACTCGTAGAAACTATCTGCTCATCTGTCTGTCGAGATGCGAGGGAAGAGCCTGAGATCTCCCATCTGGATTCATCAGACAGAGTACGGATTTCTGATTGTTTCATGTGCATTGCTTGTGTTTCTTGGCCTGATAAGTGCTCTTCTCCTTCTTGTTGTTGATCTTCTTCTGCAGTGGCTTCTTTGCAGCAGTTTGACAGTTTGATGCACTCAGTCTCCTTTAAACAGTTGAAGTTCAGATGCGTCTGCTACTTGAACTCTGTGGAGCATTTATGTGAGCTTTAATTTGAGATATTAAAACCTGTTAATATTCAAATACAGCTCACCAGTGCTGGAAACAAATTCTGCAGGTTTGATTTGTTATTTTGGTGTGGATCTGTCAAAGTCCTCTGCTCAGGTGTTTTTTTTTACACAGGTATTGTACAGGTGAGATCCTTCTTCCTAGCAGTTTAGAATAAATCATACAAATGATCTGTAACATGAATTTTCTAATAAATACAGCTGGGGTTAAGCAGAAGGACATTTACCTGTTCATCTGCCATAAAACTGGGTGGGAGGGGCCAGTCTAGCCATGCCGCCAATATCAAAATAAATCAGTGAAACACTCCTTTTTTTTTTTTTTTTTTTTAGCTAAAGCTGATTAGTTCATATTCCACGTGCCTCTATACATCACACAGTGAGTAAAACAGATGACTTTACAAAAATGAGTGATCGCATGGACAACTTTGTATGTGAAACAAGAGGTAGATCTCCCCCTCAGACTCAAATCACCCCGTTCTCCCCTTAGAATCCAGGACTGAGGTCAAAGCACTGTTCCTGTTCCTCACTCTTCATGAGGCAGTCAGAGGGTCATCACAGCTGGGATGGTTGACCTGTAGTTTGCAGAGTGCACACTCCTGAAACAACAAGACAGAAGTAAAACAATGTGATACTGCCTCAAACAACTGCAATACAGCATTATTTAGATAAAATTAGTGCTACACAGCATGTAAGGGGTTAGGGAAATACCTTAGTTTTGGTCCATATGTCAAAATTAGACCCTCTACTCTCATTGCTGGAGGTTAAACTGTTAAACCATTAATGAGGAGTATAATCATAAAGTGATACGGTCACCTGAAAATAGGTAAGTCTATCAGCAGTGATGGGCTCAAACCTGTTGACATTGATGGTGATGATACTCTTCACAGGTGTGCTCTTGGGACCAGGAGCAGGCCGGAAAACTGGCCCTTGATTGGTTGGTTTGGAGCGGCGGATGACATAAGGATCAGTAGAGTGAGAGGGGTAAGAGTCGAATGTCCCCGCCTTCATCCCTCCAATCTAACACCAGATAATCACACAGATTACCTGTTAGCATACCCAATTCACTGTGAAAACACAACTCAGATGTTTCCCTCTCTTCATTGCTGTGTCAAGTTCAAAATTCAGTTTTTGTTGCTGTTTACCATATACATGGAGAACCTGGTAATATTGATCATTGCAATGCCTCAAGACTGACCAGGACCCCAAAAAATAGGGTTTTGTGAAACTCCAAAGGGTCAAATGGAACAGAGAAGTCGACCAAGAGTTTGATTACCCATAGAACTACAACGTATTGACCAGAGTATATGGCAACCCTGATTATACAGTGACAAGGCTCAATTTTTTAAGATGCAGTTTGAAGATCAAATCTTGTCCTTTTATGGGAGACAATATTAACTTAAAAAACTGATGAAACTGAATTTGAATGAAAAAAGTTAGCTTAAGTTTCTCACATCTCTTATATGAAAAAAGTTTCATTATCTTTATATTGTTACAGTTAAAGCTCCTGTGAGGAACTTTTTTGTCAATTTTGGCACCCCTCTGGACAATGCAGTGTTTGTTTTTTCGTTAATCCCCATCATACTTCAGTAGCATCTTCCGACAAAAATCTCATCTTGCTGAAAGATGACAGTCAACTTTGTTTTTATTGTGAATGCCTACCCCTGTGCACCACTTTAACCACTGTCAGTATGATGTTGTTTTTCTGAAATGCTGTGTTAGTTTACTTCAAATGTTCCAGAAAGTTCCACTTTTGTGTCGTCATTCCACAAATATTTTCCCAGAGGTCTTGGGCATCATCAGGGTGTTTTTTTTGGCAGATGTGAGACAGGTCTTTGTGTTCTTTTTGGTCTCAGAGCTCTCCCATAGATGCCATTGTTGTTGTTGTTGTTGTCAAGTCTCTTTCTTATTGTTGAATCATTAAAACTGACCGTAACGGTGCCAAGTGAACCCTGCAGTGCTTTAGCAGTTGTTGTGGGTTCTTTTAGGACCTCCTCCATGAGTCCTCAATGTGCTCCTCATTTTAGCCTCTCCTGGGAAGATGTGTATTCTATGTGTGGATAAAGGGTTTTAATCTTGTCCCAAAGGGGTTTAGTTCACGTTGTCTCGCCATCAATAATAATGTTCAAATGCATCTCAAGCATGGCATTAATTCATGAGACATTAATATATCTCAAAACCTCCTTTGCTGACATTGTAATCTAACAAGTAAAGCAAAACCTGATAAGCTGCAACTACTCTAGCTCTCACCGTGGTTCTCTGGAGTCCAAAAGTCTTGAAAATGGCTTTGTAACCCTTTCCAGACTGATAGATGTCAAAAACGCTGCTTCTTACCTGTTCTTGAATTTGTCTGGTTCTGTTTAATAGATCTTTTGTTTCTACAGGTCAAATCATGGTCAATTCCTTTTTCACAAAGGGCAGGTGGTCAGCTTTTTCCCCTTGATAAATGAAATCATCATTTAAAAACTGCATTTTGTGTTTACTCAGGTTATCTTTGTCTGATATTCAAACTTGTTTGATGATCTGAAACATGTAAGTTTGACAAAAACAGAAGAAACCTGTAAGCGAGAAATACTTTTTTCTGTATTTGTTGGGTGATCACCTTTTTGCTCGGGGACGGAGGTTTGAAGGGAACTGGAGAGACATTCTGTGCTGATGGTACAGGCTTGCGAGGTGGTGGGAGGGGCTTGTGAGCTGGTGGGAGGGGCTTGTCACTGCGGTATGGGTTGCGTTGAAAATAATCTTTGGAGCGAAGATTGAGCCTGAAGGGACCGTCTCTAAACTTGGAGCGATGGACTGCTGCTTCTCTCTGTAGAATAATAAAAAAACAAGCACCTTTAAAGTTGAAGTTTGTTATAAGGTGAGACATACAGCTTTTGTTTGCTTACATGTTTACAAATTTATGATACAGAGAAAACAACCAATTAAAATGACACCTTTAGAAGTTCTCTGGCTCTGTCGTAGGGGTCTGAGGCATACAGCTCCATTTTGGACAGCGTCACATTGGGATAACTGCAAAAAAAAACATAGCATAAATACATTTAACAGTACAATAACAGATTTGTCCAGGGGTACAATAATAAATACATGAATGAGATCATATTGTATTTATGACCTGTAACCACTGCCCTTTTGGGGAGGCGAAGTGACGATGTTGCGTCCAGGGGAAGGTTGGGCTTTCCGAGGGACTGCCATAGGACTCATAGCTTCAACTGGTCCTGACAAAGTCCCGTAGTAACTGCCTGAACCACACCTGTAGACAGATGGAGGTGTTGATGGATAAGAGCAAAAATGAGGTGTGAGTGAACAGGTGGTAAGAGCAGGACCAGAAAAGTCCCACAAAGATGATCATTATTGTATCGGAAACACAAGTTTAAATTTGTACATGAAGGGTACAGTTTGCGCTGCCCAGTCATCAATGACAGTGTTCAAATATGACATTTATTCAGATTTCTCTCAAAACCTCCTTTGTTGACGTTGTTATCCAGTTAGTAAACTATAACTTGGTGAGATGCAATTACTCTAGCTGATTCATATCATCACAAAAATATTTAACATTCAGTCTGGAAGGTCTTCAAATAAACCACATGGGTAAAAAGTACTTTGAACACAAAAACTGGAATTATTAAACACATTTCCATATTAAGATGACATTAGGCGCACCTCTAAGCTTTATCCAGCAGAGGGCACTAATGTTTCATATACGTAAAACACCAATCCCTGTGCAAAGCAGAAAAAGCAGTACATGGTAAATTGTATTTATTTAAAAGATGAGGGTGTTGAGGTGACTAAACAGCCAAATGTCCAAAACCCAAATGCTAGTCAGCTCTGAAAATGCTGGAGTTTGGTCATACTACTACTAATAAATGATATGTCTGACAAAAACGGTCATGATCATTTCACCTTGCAGGAAAAATGCTGATTACCAATTGCAAGCTTTTATTCATTTTTTGAAGGCTACACTGATATTATCACAGACCTACAGTCACACAATAACGCCAACATTTCCAGGTTGCAGCTTTCCTGAGGAAGTAAAATCACTGTTTTCATCAATGGAGTTTGGAGTCTGCTGAAACAAAGTTCGAAGTACATATATGAACCAGGTTTTAGAAGCAATGTATTGAACATGTTTGAGTTTTCTCTCACGGCTTCTTGATGCTGTCACAGGGCAGGAAAGCCTTCCCCAGGTTCTTCTTGGCCTGCTGGATGCGGTTTTGTCGGGCCAGTTTTAGCGGGTCACTCAGGGCCTCCCGCTCAAATATCCTGTTGAAGGACTTTTCGAAGAAGCCATTCTGCAGAGCACAACGCTGTTTGGCGATGCCAGCCTGCATCTGTCGGTTACGATGGGCTGATTCATTGAACGGTCCTGGATTTTAAAGAATACAGCAATGATTTCAGAGTTGAAAAAATACATTGAGCAGCTTTTTGTTCTCATGCAGCACAAACCCTAAATGATGGCAGACGAGCCTTGGCTCTGATGTAGTCAAATTTAAGCGAAAAGACTTTTAGCTGTAAAACTTTAATCATGTTCAGCAAATTGAAAACTTCAGTGAATGAAATGTGCTGTAAAAAAAAGCTGTCTTGTCCTTTAAACTATTCTTCTATTGCTAGTTTCGTAATGATGCATGTCAGTGTGTATCTTTGAGCTCCGACCCCATAACAGCCACTACACCACTAACTCTCCTCATTCTGAGGTCAAAGGTACCTATTTATGTTGGTCCTGCTATCATCTGGTAAATATCCATCACAATCCTTTTAGGTCAAATAATTTCTTTAAACTATCCATCAAACACCGTCAGACTGAGATGAGAGTATCTGTGCTAGTTTAAATAAGTATTTTTTTTTTTTATGACAATGTGTTCGCTGAAGAAGATTAAAAGCTAAAGGCCCACTTTTGACTCCTCCACTGTTGTGATACAACAGGATTCAACAGGTTGTAAAAATCAACATGATAAGGGTGGTGAAAATGCTTCCACTTGAAATATCATTTGTTTTGTTATCTTAAATTTGAAATGTAGGCTACTGCACAAAAACAATCAGCTGAAAAAACTGCATGATAAAGTAAAGTACCTGAGAAATAAGTATTAAAAATATCAAGAAAGAAAATTATCTTAAAAACCTTTTGTATATGATTTAAAACACATTTTAGTCATTTTACGCTGAAACAAGTTAAAAGTGGTTCCAAGTTGCTTTAAACTTGTTGAAGAATCAGCCATTGAATGATTCACTCTTTGAAAGTGGCAAGATTATAGAGTGAAGAGATGGGTTAGAGTTAAACCAGCTTACTCCTTCCTGGTTTATGCACATGTCAAATAAGTGTGTGTGGTTTTAGTTTAAAAGTAAGCTCTTTTATTTCAAATGCTTTGATTAAGACATAAATCAACAAATTGATTTATCAAAAAAAATTAAGGCTAAACCACGAGTAAACATCAACCGTCTCTGGTGGAACATCATTGAAAACTGGTCACACTGATGTTGAAGAGGACTCAAATCTGTATCAATATACATATGGCTTCATTTCAAAATAGAAGTCATGCTTCATTTTTAAGACAGGTATACTGGTAAAAGTAATTTACAAACCAAAATTAGATAAATCATATTTATATAAAAAACCTTCCTGCCCATAACATAAATGTTACTGTCAATTTCTAAGCAGTCCAAGCACAGTGAAAGTGTTTTTTAGTTAATGATGCAGAAAGGAAAAAAAAGAATAATGAGAGATTAGTGAGAACTTTATTTAAATATATTTTTGTTTTTAAATGTCCTCACAGTTTCTTTTTAAATCAGACGATAATCAGACGTATAAATGACAAAGTTAAGTACTCACGATTATTGGGAGGCATGTATTTATCTCCTACAGAGATGTAGCTCATCTCTTTAAACACACCTAGACGCTCCATGTCAGACTTCCCCTCACCTGACACCATCTTCACAGACTGAACAAAAGCAGAGCAACATGTTGGACCGATACATTCAGTTAATAAAGACTTAAACTGTGGACACAGAGTTTCATAAATAATAAAGAAACAAACGACTGAGTCAGTATCCGGAGTTACAGACAGTCTGATCATATGACTGACCTTCAGATAGAGGTGTGAACGTACCTGTGGTTGACAGTTAAAGAATCATTCAGTCTCCTACAGTGTAAATTCAGTCTCTGTGTGTACAGGTCGGTTACCTTGGAGAAAGGGAAGTAAACAAATGATGTCAAGTTTAGAAAGCCTTCCAGCAGGGGGAGTAGGACAATGTTCCTTCAAAATAAGAGTCCTCACATCATATTTTGAGTTTTAGAAACTCTTGGATAAGGTTTAGTTTTCTAAAGATGCGATATTTATAAATTTTCTATTTCTTTCATATGCTCATTTGTGAAAATTATATAACTTAGTGTCTCATTCTCCATACAAAGTTCAATCAACATTGTAGAGTGCTTGTTTACAAAGGAAAAACCATGGAATTTTAAGGGACAGAATAAAACACACAGATATATAGCCCTGAGGAAAAATAATGGTCACTCCGAAGACTTTTAAATGTTTTCTTTCGATATTTTTGTCTGACCTCTATGATGATAATTCTTCTGATGTATGTGTTTCATTTCTACAGTGAGTTCTATAAGAACATTTCAGCTCATTTTCTGTTTTATTAAAATTTTGTTATATTTTATAAGTTAATAGTTTTATCAAACAGCAGCTAATCTTATTGTGCTTTCATTTTTTAATATTGACCCTACATTTATCCAGTTATATACAAGTGTGGACCTTTATGAGGACAAGGATGTGTGTGTGTGTGTGTGTGTGTGTGTGTGTGTGGTTGCATTTGAATATTTTTTGGGAAAAACACACATAGGCTGAGGAAGATCCTTGTTTTGATCGATTTTTATCAGGAAAGTTGTAGTTTATGTGCTACTACAGTTTTACATCGATCGATACAATAAGTTTTAAGATACAGAGTGATGTGTAATACTAAACATTCTCTCTATCTTTATTAATATCACCTGTTTCCATGTGTATCTATGCCACTTCTTAAATCATGTGATAATAACATGATTTCATGGACCAGTATAATTTACACACTGAAGAAGACTTGTTAGTCGTTACAGGTCTGTGCAGCAGCTTATTAAAATATCAGGATACGACTGTTGCTGGCCTTTTCTTCATTTTTATATCCACTACAATGGGCAGAATTAAACATTTTGAAAAATATATATTTTTTTTTGGTATGAGTTTTGACTTGTCCATACATGCATTGTGGATTTTTGAACAAACCTTATCTGGGCAGTATTGTCTGCAGGCTGCACTTTTGCTCAAATTCTCTTTATCCTGAAAATGACCTGTGTGGTTAGACGATTTAAATATCTTGTAATGCTGCAGCTTCCATGGAAATATTTTATACTTCTCTAACAGGTCTAAATCAAGATTTCTTCATGGCCACAAGGTGGCATGCAAACCAAATAAATAAGGGAGAATGATAATCCTGCAGTTTGTCAGGTTTCCTACACAGTCTTTAAATCCCCAAACACTCTTATCTTAAATATCAAGAGACACAATGATCTATGAACAAAAATGTATGCAGAAAATAACATTAGAGAAATGTGCAGTACCACTGTACTGAGACTGACGGAGGAGGCAATAAACAGAACCAAAATGAAGGGTCAGAGACATGAAATAAAGATATCGATAAATAACAAAAGCAGAGACTGAAACGGAGACCTGAAAGGATAAACACACAGAAGATAAAGAGGAGCGGTGAACATCTGACAGCATGCAGAAAAGAGACATGCAGAAAAGAGGACAACCCTGAGTTGGTCAAATGTCCTTGGAGACTGAAGGAGGGCAGCTCAACAGCAGCTGGGTCACACACACACACACACACACACACACACACACACACACACACACACACACACACACACACACACACACACACACACACACACACACACACAGAGAGAGAGAGACTCCAGTTTGAAGGAAAACATGTAGGACTCTCCACCCTGATCTAAACCCTCAGAAATGTTCAGATTAAAAGATGCTGTCGTGTTTTTTTCCTGTTATGACTAATGAAGCGTGGAGTTATATTTCTCTATTTCAAATACAGTTTAATTTAAAGGAAATAAATGCCATAGAACATATTTTCACAGTTTGTAAATAAAAATGGTATAAAAGTGATGAATAACCGACATCCTGATGAACCTTTTGTTACAGTGAGGAGGACTGGGAACAAGTGATGATGCTTCATTTAATCCTCTCTACCTTGTGTTTATTTCAGAACATAAAGGCGTAAGATGTGATTTGTATCACTGCATATGAAAATATTTTGAGTAAATCTCTCTAGTGGAAACTTACAGGAAGAATAAAGACCTGAGTAGAGACAGAGGCAGCTTTTGGCCACAGATTTTGGCATGAGGCTGATTTTCTGCAGTTTGTCAGGAGTCCTACACAGTATTTAAAATCAAATCAAAGAAACACAAGTTAATTCCATTATTGCCATGCAGAATGATTTTTTGTAAAAACAACTTCTAATGTCAAATATTCTTTTAAACTATATGTCCCGATTTTAAAAGCTCTTTTACAAACTTGCAAATCACTGCCCAGTTGTTGTCTGCTTCTGCTGCCTGTTCCCTGATGAGTATGTTATTGGACTGTGGGAGGAAACAAGTATGCCCAGAGAGAAACCAAGCATGCACAGGGAGAACATGCAAACTCCACACAGAAAGACCCCTACCCATCAGAAGATCTAAACCAGGGACCTGCTTTCTGTGAGGCAACAACACTAACCAGTGAACAACTGTGCAACCCTATTAAACAACGCCAACTCTACAATATCAATATCATAAACCTCAGAGTCTTTCATCACTGCAGACTCTTTTTGAAGGTAAAAGATTTTGCCTCTTCAAATTAAAGTTCTTCATTTACCTCTTTACCACTTGTGGAGTTCAGATTCAAAAAAACGTGGTGCATTTTACAGCAGGCACAGCTAGTACACTGTACTGTAAAAAGAAGAGAGGTATTTTATCATGTTACAGTGTTTTACCCTGACTACTTATTCTGTTGTCTCACCATAAAGCCTCACCATGAAAATACACCGTTATGACTGCATAAAGCATTCTGGGAGACACGCAGACCGGGGCTGATGGCGCCAGTTCCAAACAGCTTTTCTCTCCTAGAAAACGAAATGAAATGAAAGAGGTGGGACATAGGAAATGAACATTGACTTATTAGACTTATAAGACTTATGACCAGAGGAAGGTGGGTACCTCATGACTTTCACTTCCAGTCATGAGAAATAAAGCTGATGCTGATGGGTGCTTGTTGAGCGCACTCTGTCAGTGGTGTGTGGTTTATCCTGCAAATTCGCTCCCATTCTAGCTGCGTCCCAGCTTCATCCCAGAAGTGTCTTTACCTGCTGTGTCCACACAGAAAAGATCATCCTGGTTAGGATGTCACACGTGAGGTGTGCATGTCATCAGTTAATTTCAAAATAAAACACTGTGTGCGGACTTCCGACTGTTTATTAGATCGTGCAGATGAGAAATACTGCCTGGTTATAGATTTATTTGTAACACAGGACCCCCCCATGTGGACCCCAACAGGACTTTTAGCTGCTAAGTTTGTCTGAAGGTAACTGTGCAGCATAAGGAACATAGTTTACTTAGTTTAAACCTGTAAAAATCCAAACTTCAAAACCAGTAAAAGCTCAAGAGTCACAGAATAAAATCCAAATGAGCAGGAAATCGAACACAGAAAGGCAAAACAACCTGTTGTGAGTCCGGTGATTTCTGAATACTGAGTCCAGCTGAACAGGCTGCTCTACACTGCAAACACACTTCCAGTGGGCGACAAAGTGCACTACCCAACGGTGCCGGGATGCGATGCCAACGAAACGCACTAAACCTGGATCCTGAGGGTTTTTGGCTGTAGGCTGAACTTCAAGAGGGTAGCTTGCAGGGTTAAAAACTCCTCATTGTTAAAAATCACTCTGTACTATTGAGAGCTACACAGCTGCACAGAAACCGCACAATGTGTACTTAGCTCATTCTGATGAAAATCATCTTGGAGGAAAAATTCTTCAAAAATCTTTCCCTCAAAAACACAGACTGGATTTTCGATTCCACTGTGGAATATATCCAGCATGTTGTGGTAATTAACCAGCAGTATATTGCTTTTGTTCTTTGTTACTTGCATGTCTGTGTCACAGATCAACAGTCTTCAGCTCATAAACAAGTAGAGTATGAAATATCACTGGGACCATATTCTGACCACAGGACACAGAGGAGCACAAAACAGTGTTTGTTTTGGGACTGTCAAACTCAGTGGTCTGATTCATACATCATTGAAAGTGGACTTGTGATGAGTGCTGGTCTGTCATCCTATGAGTCAAAATCTGACGTTCTTCTTATGTGAAGCCCCCTCTGTTCAGTATCACAGCCCCGGGCTGCTCTTGGTTGTCAGCAGTATTTTTTTTTTTTACTATTCACAACAAGCGCAGCGAGCAGACTGTCACAGTGTACTCGAGGAAGACGCCACTCTGTCAGGACTCGGATACTCGGGTGAAAGGCCTGTGAAGAATAGAAGTGAAACAACAGATTACAGAGCAGAGGAGTTCAGAGTGGATATTCAAAATGAACACAAAGAGCAGCGAGTTACTTAGAGTTGAATCAGTAATTTGAATCCCATAAATACTGATTCCAGCCTTTTAATTTTCCTCTCTTTATTCCCTCTCCCTCTAAGCTTTATTGACATGCAGCACAAAGCAGCAAATCCATTTCATTACCAGTCCAAGAGGAAAATCATTGAAGAATTCGGTGTGATCGCCCAATCTGCTGCCTTTTAAATAGAGGTCTATTTTACGAAATCTCACTTACAGTTGAAAGGGTAGAGCTATTATCACAAGGAACAGTGCTGGTATTTTCAGTCACAAACAGAAAATTGAGATCACCAGAAAAAAAGAACTTTTCACAATGAAAAGAAAGTGCCACAGAAACAGAATCTGAAATCCTGAGTATTAATGGGAAAGTGCAGTATGTGTTAATGGGAGCAGCTGTTGGAGGGATTTTTCAGGTCTGTCTAATCCTGCAGCTTCTCTCAGTAACTCTTACTGTGAAGTCTGGAAAACTGAAAGTCTGACACTTTTAAAAATAGCTGATAACGTTATAAAAACATGACAAACTAAACTAAAAGCAGGTGGGAAAA